AAGACAAATTACTAAGAAATTCGTTATGCAAGGTCACTAACGTGAAAATGGATGGTAACCAGTTTTTACAAGCAGCTCTCCCGGCAGCCAAAGGTGGCTTGGGCGTTTCTTCCGCTCGTCTACTCTTTTTACCCGCTTTCTTAGCCTCAGCAGTAGGAGCAAAAGATGCCTTGAGCAAAAACTTTGATTTGGAGCATGTGGATGGAACCTACGATGATGCGCTTAAATGGTGGTTTGAACTTGGAAAAATTGAAATGGCTCCGGAAAATGAAATCCAAAAAAATTGGACGGAGCCAATTTTTGACAGCGAAATTTTACGACTCGAACCAACGGATGTAAAAAGATTCAACGCGTACCAAGATAGATTTGGCTCCCAATGGTTGAACGTCATCCCGTGCAAAATTTTAAATTTAAAACTGTCGAACCAACATTTCAGAATTGAGATAGGACTTCGATTAGGCTCAAAAGTATGCGAACGGCATAAATGCGTGTGCGGAAAAGACGTTACCGAGGATGGTTGGCATGGTCTTTCGTGCCTCAAAAGTGCAGGGAGATTATCTAGCCATTCAAACCTGAATGCCCTTATATAGCAGAGTTTTTCTTCTACTCACATTCCGTCTGTTTTAGAACCACGACACCTCTACAGGACCAATCAGAAGCTACCAGACGGTTTGACGATCAATCTGTGGGCTGTTGGTAAGCAGCTCTTGTAGGATGTAACGGTAGTAGACTCCTTAGCTCCTTGTAGGATTAATGCCGGGTCTGTTTGTAACCCTGGTACGGCTGCCGCTGAAGCGGAAGAGCAAAAAATTGACAAGTATAAAGATCTTGTAAATGATGGATATCTTTTTCAACCGCTAGTTTTTGAAATTCAGGGCGCGGCCGGCCCCAGCACAGAAACTTTTTGAGCAAGCTTTGTAAGAACCTAAGCATATGCACTGAGGAATCCAGAGCAGGCAGCTTTCTAAAACAGAGAATCTCCCTCCTGGCAATACAGATTGGGAACGCGGCTTGCGTACTCGGAACAAAAAATGACAAAATAACTTTCGACGAAATTTTTTATTTGCAACACTTGTATATTATACTTTCTCGTGTCGAGTTGCGTGTTCTTATTGAAGAAACGTAACCCGTATCTAAGCTGCCATCAAAAAATATTATCATCGAAATGTGGGATAAATGAGCGGAGAGCTACCACACTGACTCATATTTTCCTTTTTGCGTTGTTACTGACCCAAAGTGGGGATGTTGATAAAAACCCTGGTCCTATTGAAACCATTGAAACAGTCTACGGCATCTGCTCAAAAAATTGTGCAAATCTTAAATTTGTTCATTTGAATTTTCAAAATATTATTAGAAAACGGATGCAATTGAAAAAATTTCTTGATGATGTGAGCGAAAACAATAATAGGAGTTTCCGAAATGTGGCTTAAAAAAGAAGATAGTGACAATTTATGGAATCTCCACCCTAGAACGCATGCGATGTTCAGATATGTTCGGCAACCAGCGGTAAAAAAAGAAAGGCGGTGGCGTTTTGTTATATATACCAGTCAAATTGGCTCCAAAATTGAGGCCTGATTTAAATTTATTTGATAAAGAAAAATATGAGTCAGTGTGGGTTGAGTGCAAATCTACATTTAACACTTCCAGTAAAGAAAAAATGTTAGTTAATTTGTGTTATAATCCAAGCAGATCAAACTTTATTGATTTTTTGGAACGATTAACGCTTAACATAGATAATGCATTTGCAATTTCTAATAAAATTACGCTTCTGGGTGATTATAACATAAATTATCTGGATAGCAAAGAAAAAGAAAATTTAGATTCTATAATTATTCCATATGGATTGAAGGTTTTTTGTCCAAACGATGAGACCAGAATTAGTTCCTCAACCAAAACTCATGTCGACTATATTATCAGTGACTATGAAACAAACGGTATTGAATTTTGTTTTGATACACCTTATAAAAACCGACCATTTTGCTTCATTTATTTTGACGGATATAAAATGCGGCAAAAGTTTACCGAGGAAAATTTCGACTTTCAATAAGAAAAATTATCAGAAAAATGAATTTTGCAATACACTCTCCGCTCTTCCTTGGTATCTCTTATATCAATGTACAGACGCACAAAACATGTTCTCGACGATGATTTATTTAATTTCTAGTGCTCTTCAGCAACATGCTCCTATCGAAAAAAAATTTGTTCGTAATTTTAAACCAAAAAATGTGTTGAAAACGGAATGGTTCAATTCAGAATGTCAGCAATTGTTGATTAAGAAACAGAATTCACTCAGATCATATCACAGTCAAACCACAAGCGATAATTGGTCAAAGTACCAGTTTTTACGTAATCAAATGAGCCAATTGATTAGAAGTAAACAATTCGATCATTCAAAAAATTGTTTTTCACTTCACAGCACTATCCAACAAAAATGGAAATACATTAACCAAGTTAGAGGTACATGTTCTGGCAACAATTGAATTACAGTTCTACGAAATTTCTTCAGTGAAATGATAACCCAAGACAAAAAAATTGCCAATCATTTAAATTATATTTTTTCAAACCTAGGCGAATTTTTCGGCGCTAAAAAGCCTCCGAATTATAACAAATCTGCCTCTGAATCTGCACCTTTCCATTTTCAACACATTACAGTGAAGCATTGGTTTGATATAGTTTGAAAAATCAATGTTAGAAAACCTCTCGGACCTTGTACCGTACCTGCTTGGGCAATCATTGACGGTCAATCAGTTATAGTTCCACATTTAACTTTTGTCATAAATACTTCTTAGATGAGAACATTTTCCCGATCGAACTGAAAAAAGCACACGTAACCCCTTTGTTTAAAGGAGATGACCCAATGGATGCAAAAAATTATCGGTCAAAATCAATAACTTAAGCTTTTTCTAAAATTTTTGAAAAAATTTTACATGCCCAAATAACAGAACATCTAGACAAATTTCAAATAATGACACCATTTCAATTCGGATTTCGCAAAAACATTTCAACACAAGATGCTAATGTTTATGTGACAGAAAGTATTTGAAATCAAATAGATTCAAAAAAAATAGTACATGCAGCTTTATTAGATCTGTCCAAGGCTTTTGATTCTATTTCGCATGAAGTTTTAATTGAAAAAATGCTTTCTCTCGGTTTTTCAAATGGAGCAAATGCTTTAATTGCAAGCTTCCTAAAGAACCGTATTCAAAGAGTAAACGTCAATGGAATCTTTTCAGACTGGATTGAAATCAAACGAAGTGTCCCACAAGGAACGGTACTTGGTCCGTTGTTGTTCAATTTATATGTTAATGACATACAAGAGCGATTATATTAAGGTTGCACTTTAGTTCAATATGCTGACGACTGTATAGTTTTTTCCTCTTCTACAATTTCTGAGGATGCTTTGAATCGATTGCAAAAATCACTCAATAATCTAACGGAATTTTTTGCAGAGAACCAATTAAATCTGAATGCTTCTAAATCGGAATTTATAACATTTTGTCAAAAAAAAGATAGCAAAAATGTAGATACTGATACAATAGTAATTAATGGGCATTATGTAGCCAAAAAATCAGAATGCAAACATTTAGGCCTTATTCTTGCTTCAAGTTTATCTTTTCATGCTCAAATCAAAACAATTCTCCAAAAAATGGCACAAGGAATTAAAACTATAGATACAATTGGACAACAACTTTCGACATTATCATTAGTTGCCTTGCTTCATTGTCTTGTTTTATCACATTTAGATTATTCAGCAATATTTTTAAAACAAATGAATGCTACTTTGATGCTATCTCTAGAGAAACAGTTGAACTGGGCGTTAAAAAGAACATATTTCAGATCGAAATTTAAATCTTCTTCCCTTCTTCGCATTAGCAAATCGTTCATTGGAATCGAGAAAAGAATTGAGTTAAAGTGTATAACATACTTATACCAATATCTTACAAACAAAAAGAAGGCTTTTCAAAGTACATTGAGACTACCGACTGCCAATTATAGGCTCAACAAAAGAACGAAATAAATTATTTTTGACAAATATTGTTCAACCGCTTCTCTACAAAAATCATTTTTTCATTTGACTTCTAAAAAATGGAATTCACTGCCCATAATTTTGCGCAATTTAGAAAAATCGAGAACAGGATTCAAGAAAAACTTGAAAGAATTTTACGTGAGTGAATTGAGAAACAATCCAATATGTACAAATACAAATACGTGGCGTGATTTCCGGTTTTGCTAGTTCTATATGTTTTAATTTAGTTTAATTTTCCAGACATTGTTTGAAAAAGAATCTGTATATACTCTGTATATACGCTGTATGTTTGGACTATCTATAAAATTGTTTGTAAAGTTAAAATACCAGCTCGTTCTTAATTCTTAAAACTGATGTTTTTTTAGTATCCGTAACTTCATATATTTTAATCAACCATTTTCTGATGTTGTGTTTTTGTTTGATGTAACCAATGAATTTTAACCAACTTCATTATTTACACTTTGCTATACTGATGCCTCGGCTTTTTACTGTGTAGTAATTCAGTTGTTCTTTCTTCTTCTTCTTCTTAATTGAAAAGGACTTTAACACTTGGCATCTTCTTTTATCATTATCACTTCCATATCTAGAAAATTCCAAGGATTTTGACTGGAATACGTGATGAAGGGACTCCTGACTGTAACCTCGGTTACTATGATACTTTTGGCCTTCTGATTAATTTTAAAAAAAAAGAAAAAAGAGTACCGATTGTTAGAGTATAGAGTACCGTTTGTTTTTTTTGATGATTGGAAAAGTTTTAAATTCAGCGTGACAAGATATCGTTGGACTTTTGCTTATCTACTTATTTTTGTCGGTTTACTTTGAAAGGGATGTCCGTGACGATGATTCTGAGACTATTGAATATCCACGTTTTGTTTTGCAACAAAGTGTTTTGAAACGCTCCTCAAGAAGTCTTATAATGCTCATAATCGGATGGTGTGGCTGAAACATTAAGTTTAGTTCGCTGTTAATTTTCAGAGCAAATGACTCTAAACGATGAGCTGGATGACCACCAATTCAGTGACCCTGAAGATTTTGAAGACGATATAGATGATGATGGTCAGTCAAAATATTAACCTTTCGGAGTCACAGTCATTTTTAATTTTTGTGGTCAAAACATATGCTCAGTCTTTTTCTATCTAGTTTTTTCTAAAACAAATTTTTGTCAATTCTTGTAAACTGAAAAAGTCCAACCCTGTCACATTTCGAATTTCGGCAAAAAATAACGATCAAGTCATTTGCTCACCTATAGATGTATGGCTCACCTATAGATGTATGGTCATTTGCTCATTTGAACAAACAAACGTACTTGAACATTCGTGTAGAATATTTTACTGGGTTGAATTCTGGAAACTTGTGATAAGCCAGGGTCATATAATTGGGTACTGTACTAGGTTTTGTCCCCGTACTTAACTTTGTTCACATGACTCATCTGGACTCCGGTTGGTACCTTGGTACATAATGAATTCAAGCTTTTTTTTAGTGTATCCTGCGCACTTTGCCTGGAGGCAACGAATACGCCTGGCACGCAAAGGTCATCGGTTCCTGACCAGGACCTTTTTTTTCAAAGGGAAACTTTCGGTTTCAAATAAAGTTGTCGGCCGAATAATTGTCTGCTTACGTTTTGTCGGCTTAGTTGCGACATCTAAGAATAGTTTATTTTTGTTATACAATGTTTTCTTAAGCTGCTTTTAGTGTTTTCACATTTTAAAAATCTGGTCGAATAGACATTTGATATTTACATTGGTTGTAATTTTACCAACTCGATTTTTAAATTTTGGCTTTTTTTCGGCTTATTATTATTATTAATATTATTATTATGGCTTCGTGGGTATGCCACTGGGATATTATCCCAAAAAATTTACAACATCGGGTTGGCACGACATTTTTCACAAAGTCAAAGGAAAATCCATGAGCAAGGATTATTTTCAGTCCAGTTTTCCTTGAAAAAGTTCCACATCAGTCTTATAAGATTTCTCTTTAGATTGCGGTCCTCGTAGAAATCGATTTTGCTTTTTATCATGTTGATTCGAAGCCCAGTGCGGCTCCAAAAGTTGCTCCTCTGTACCTCGTATCGCAGTTCCGGAAGTTTGATTCGCCTGCGTTTGTCCATTCCTCGGATTTCGTAAAATGTCGAAAAATCGACCTCATATCTCTCATTTAGAATACTGCTGTACAGTAGAAGATCATTCAACACTTTGAAGTACAATGGTGGAAGCAAGTTAAGATTCACGATTTCGTTTTTGCAGCTGTTGTAATTGCTGATCCAGGTAATGGCTTTTTTGTTGAAGCTTTCGATTAGGTGGTAATCAGATTTTCTGATTTCCCAGCATTCCGAAGCGAAGCAAAACTGGGTTCAAAATCGATCGGTATAGGTCAACTTTTGTTTCTTTGCTGGTTGAAAAAGATGTGTTACGTTTTAATAAAAACAAGCTTCCTAATGCTTTAGAAATTCGCATGAGCTGCCCAGTCCAATGTGTTATTTATTATCAGTCCAAGGTCTTTAACTTCGGCTCTTTTCTTGAGTTCGCTCCCTGCAAAGTTAAGTTTTACTAAATTTTCATTTTCTCTTTTCCTTGCGGTTAAGAATTCAGTGCATGAACATTTTCGAAATTAAAAAACTGGCAGTTTTGGACACTCCAAATGAGTAGGTTTTCAAGATCGGATGAAAGTATATTTAGTTCTTTTCCAATATAATTTAACTTAAATTCATCTGCAAATAAAAGAGCTTGCGAACTAAAAATGACAGTGGGAAGATCATTGATGTATAACAGAAATGGAAGAGGACCTAGGATTGATCCCTGTGGGACTCCTGAGTTGATTCGTTTTTCAGTTGAGATTTCTGTATTGATTCTGACTCTTTGGGTTCTATCAAAAAGATAATCGTGTAAAAAGAGGAACAATTCTTGGTTGATATCAATTTCAAGACGGCAAACCAAGATTGGATGACTGCACGCCGCTGATGATACTTGAGAGGAAGATAGCGAACGAAGAGTTCAACCAGATAGTGACGATCATCTAGTATCACAGGATGCTTTGCTTCGACACTGGTTTCAACACGACGCCGAATGCGACCGGTTGAGCGTAAAAGACCATTTGGCCCTATGAATAGATAATAAACCGCTATTCGACAAGAAATCTGTACGGATTTGTCGCTGTCGAGCAGTTTAATTTCTGCCAGGAAAGAATCGATTTCGGAGAGATGCAGGAGCTTTGCCTCGGCTAATTCAAACTCCGAGGGGTCGGTTACACTTTAATCAGACGAACGGAGAGGCGCGTGTCTAGGAAGGAGCCTTAGATTAGAGCATATTTTGCTATGCGCAGGAGCTTAGGAAAAAAAGCTGAACTTTTCCCAAACAATGATAGGATTATTGGCTCCTCTATCTGATTTGTTAACAAGTAGAGAGTCTCCAACTACATCTGCAGCTGATTCTTTGAGGCGAATTTTATTTACAACATCTAGAGATGGTTGACGTGGACAGACAGCAATTTTCAAGAAACTCGGTCCCTTGAACCATCAGTTTTCACGAAGCGCTTCGGCTGCAATCTCGCGTGTACCTGTGTCTGCGGGATTATCACCGGTTGCCACGTGATACCACTCATCTACGATTGTTGATTCTAAGATCTCGCCAACTCTATTGGCTACGAAGACAGGTTGCTTACCATCTGGGTGGAGCCACTGTAAAACAGTTGTACTGTCTGACCACATGAATGTTTGGGCTATCTGAATGTTCAAGGCTTTATGAATGTCTTCTTTAAGCCGAGTAGCCAATAAGGCGGCTTGCAGTTCGAGTTTGGGTATATGCATGTCTTTAATTGGCGCTACACGAGCCTTTCCAAACACGAAAATGACTTCTGTCTGCTGAGATTCTGACAGGCGACCACGAAGTAACCCAACCGCACAAAAGACTTCGAGCGAACTGTCGCCTAACATGTGTAGTTCTACCGTATCTACAGGCGCACTGAAGTAAGCACGAGAGATGGTCATTTTTCTTAGCAACGGTAAGCCCGAGTGCCACTGCAAAAACTTGTCTTTAATGTCATCAGGTAAGGGATCGTCCCATTGTTGACCTTTATGGCTCCAAATTTCCTTTAACTGGAGGCGAGCTTAAACCGTATAAGGCGCGACAAGACCAATGGGGTCAAACACTGATGACACAAAACTATGCACGGTTAGTTCTGTGATGTCTTTCTGCAGATCACGACTTGCACCTCGACTTACTACCAGGGCGTCTCTTATGTGATCCCATTTCAGGCCTAAGACATGCGACGAGCTATCGGGACTTACGAGTACTTCTTTAACACTTTCGATTTCTTTGCTATTCAGGTTTAGCTTCCTTGAGATTTCAGGAATAATACTGATAAATTTGGTCAACTTAAATCCTCCTTCACTAAGCTAAGGTTCACGGCTTGTTTGGCACGGAGTCCAAGTAGTCATGCATTTAAAATTATTTAAAATTTTTTGCAAACAGCTGCTGCGGCTTCAGGATAAATGGACTCATTATCTTTAGCTGTCTGCTGTAGAGCGAAATTTGAGCGCGTTGGTGAGTCACGTGCTCCAATCATATGACGAGTGTATTGATATACCATCACATCTGTTGATGCGTCTTCCCGCCATAGAAAACGCAAAGATGGTTGGTCTTCCGGAAGGACTCCGACTTGGAGAAACATTATCTCGATGTCGGCAGATACAGCAGGAGTAGGACGTACCGTAGGAGTAAGACGTACCGTAAGCTTTGCAACGAAAAGAAGCGATTTGTTGAGCGAAAGCCCATGAAACTTGCAAGCTCCGTTTAACACTCTTCAGACCTTTCCGGGTTTGTTTGAGTTGATGACTGGGTGGTGCACTCACGTTTACGGCGCGTTTTTGGATCATGCGCTTCGACTTGAATGACATAACCCAAGGTCGTCAGATATTGCTTTCTGATAGTGGAGGCGCCGAGATTGTCTTTTCGTAAACACTTCTTTAAAGGCTTGAGCTGAAAAAATGCGGAGAAATCGTTTTTCGGCAATTTCCCATTATCATCTGCCCACAGCATTCCGACTGAATAACGGAAGCCGTCGTGTTTGATAGTGCTTTCAAGAATGCTAGTGGCTCTTTTATCGGTTGATGATCTGGCAGCAACGGTTTTGTATGTACCATATGACTCCATTTCATACCATGACTTGGCTTGATCGACTAGAGTTACATACTCGATGTTACATTTGAAGCAAGTGGAGACTAAACCAGATGTGGACGGTAAATGACCACTCAAAACCCAACCAACGGGTAAACGGACGGCTAGCGGAGAGTTTTGATCACGGCTATGAAAGTTTTCCAAAGGTCTGATGAAATAGTAAACATCTAGTCCTAGGATTAGCTCTACATCTGATCATCTTAAGACTGACGCAGTTAAGGGCTGGAAGTACGGGTATCTTTCATGAAGCGAAGGCACATCAATTGTTTCCGACCCAATATTGAGGGTTTCTCGAACGTAAAATGAAACTTCAAAAGCAATTTTGGATTCAACAGTTTCTGAAGATACGGTAATTTCAGCTTCCTGACTATGATTTTCTTCTGTAGAATTGATTCCATTGACGGTTAATTTCAAATCTTATTCTTCAAGAATGAATCGTTTTGCAAGGCTTGAAAACATGCATGAGTTGCTGCAAGCACTGTCGCACAAAACCAGCGCTTCTTTCTTGGTGCTATTGAAGGAAACTTCTAACTCTATCACAGGGAGAAGACCTTTATGCGCACTGAGAAATGCGTAAAATGTGCTCACTTTAGATACAGTTTTCTCTTCTGTGGCTGTCTTAGGTGTATTTTGTATGCTGGTTTTAGTAGCCAAACTGTTGGCATTGGCTACTCGTTGTTCTTGTTCTCGAGGAGGGAATACCCATTCTGCGCCGTGCAGCAGCTTATTATGGGTCACAATTAGTCTTGGAACATTTTCTGGCTTTAGGGCATTTTCGGAATTGGCGATTACCCTGGAGGCAAGCAAAACAAAGTTTATTGTCCATGCACAGCTTGGCTCTTTGCGTGGCTGTAATCTTTTTAAAAACGCTGCACTTCCATAATGGATGCTTGCCCTTGCAAGCAAAACATAGTGAAAAATTGGCACTGCTTTCTGTGCGCACATTCGAAGAGAAGAGCTTAGTTGCGGCCTTGCTCTTTGTTTTTTCTTCAGTTCTCGGCTTACCTGATGTTGTGCGCATGCGCTCGTGTGCGTCCGCTTTCTCCTGTCACCACTCATTGAACTCAACTAACGATGGTCGTGACCAATATCGTCTGACAACATGCATAGCCCAAGCTTCTTTCATGTTGGGAGGTAATTTTGCGACCGCTTGATTGAGGACCGACGTGATCTCAAGCTCTGAGTAGTAAAGTGATTTGAATACTGCCACCAAGCTCGATATTGTAGATGCAAAACTAATCGCACCTTCGGAGTTAGGCGTTTTGGTGGTGGGAAGATTGACCGAATTTACGCTCAAGATTTTTAAGAGCATCAGGATACAAGTCACCACAATAAGCAAATTCAGAAATTGCGGCTTTTGTCTTACCTGTAATCAGAGTTTTCAAGTAAGTAAGCTTCATATCGTTGGTCAAGTGTGCGGAATCAACTACGCTCCTGAATTGTCCCAACCACCCGTGCCACACTAGAGGATCACCATTAAACTGAGTAAGCTTCCATTCAGGTAATGGGTCTTTCCCGTTCATGGAAAAAATAGCGGCTAAGTCTTCGAGCGTTACATGCTTAGATGACGAAGAAGACGGGTCAAAGGTGTCCGCTGGAACTGGTTGTACGGGTGTGTAGACTGGACTTTGAGTAGGCTGTTGGAAACCAGGCGTATGTTGTGGCATACTTTGAGGTGCAGTATAGTATACAGCACCACCGCTTGTTAAGGGTGTAAAAGCGTTCATGTTCACCGGGCCGGCATCTTGCATCATAATGTGTGTTAGTACAAAAAAAATCGACTAGCAGCAGGCACCCAGTTTGAAATTCTAGGTTGGTTGTTGAAACCAAGTAAGACGATTGAGTGCTTGAAAGAATCTGAGGGGAAGCGTTCGGCTATTCATGTTTTTGAAAACAAATGCATCCGAATTCATTGGTAAGTTTGAAGAGCAGCAGATGCTTTCACGCTCATCGACGGTCGAATGAAAGATGTACTTTGAGAAAAGACAATATGAACTGCATGAATGGAAATGTACGGATCGGAAGACAGCGGAACTTTTTGTAAACATGACGGCACAAACGCTGTAATTCAAGGAGCTACCGACAAACTGCCTTGTGCAGCAACAAAAACGCTAGGTGTTGCTGTTGTCATTCCGAAGAATGGCACGCTATTTTCAGATGACGTGCTAACCATACGCTCAAAATTTGGACCAACTGAACTAACCAGAATTGATGACTTGACCATCGAAGGTCCAGAATCACAGCTTGGGTTTATCAGAGTTACATTTGCAGTCTCCGCTGCTGCATTGTCAACCCAATCAGCTGTACGCTTACCGCTTGTCCCTGATAATTTACTGACAGCTGGTAATTCAGACTTGCGATTATCGTCGTCGCTTTCGCTGATGTTATCTTGAATTTCAGTTTCTGCTATTTTGGCCCCGGCTAGCTTTTTCCTGGTCTCTTCAGCTATTTTTTCGAATTGAAGCCTACTTTTTCTCTACTGATATGATATTGCAATTCCTGCTGTTCCCTTAAAAGTTTTCTCTTATGCTCCAACTGATTTTGCTCCATTTCCCATTCTATCTCTTGACGATGAGCTTCCATTTTCCTTTTCTCGCATTCTAGTCTGTCTTCCTCTTCTCTCAGTCTCAAAGCTGCCTCATTTTGTCTTTCTATCGCCTCTCTTTGCTTTCTTTATTTCACTGGGAGTCATTGAGCTCGCCTTAGATCTGATACTATGAAGACGACTATATCGTAAGGACGCAGCTTTTAGAGATCTTGCGGGGGCTTTTGATTAATAGGTTTTTGCTGCAGTATCATCATCTGAAGACACGCAATCAAAGTAAGACCTGGCCTGTTGGATCACTTGATCATTTATACAAGTTATCCGGTGTAAATACGCTTCTAAATCATTTAAAAGTTTGCTTGAATCTTGACAAGTTTTTGCTATGTTTGTCAAAGCTTCATTCTTCCAAATCAACTCTTCAAATACAGCTTTGCACTTTTCTACCAAACTTTCACACTTCGCTTCTTAGCCTATCTTGCCTCTTTCAAAAAGCTATGATAGTCTATCAACTCTTTTTCTAATGTTTCTCTCGCCTCGTTTATCTTATTAACTTTAGCTTGGAATTGGTCAGTCATAACTAAACAGTTAATTACAAAAGAAACTCAGCACAACCTACGTTTCTGTATACGGTTACTTAACGGTTCGTTCACGGCACGGCAATACTAATCAGCTAATAGTTCGTGTCGGTTTCTTTTTTTTTAAGGGTGGGGATGCCGCAAATCGTGTCTCGTGGTACCAACGACTAACTGGAGTGAACCGGCGATGAAAATTTTTTAAGACACGAATTGCTTGATATAAGGCTACGAAGAGATAAGAATCGGACAATTTACAGGTACTCGTCCGCTAATTTTTAGAATTTTCGGCTTTTTTTCCAAAATTTTTTTTCGAAAACTTTACTCGATATTTTTCGGTACTGTATCACGTTATTTGGTTACTACCACTATTTTGGCAGCTTTCTATCGTTTTTTCAATTTATCGCCTCTCCTGCCAAAAATGTCCAAAATTATGGAATTTTTTTTGAATCGGTGGTGTTTTCTCTCTCTTTTTGGACTGTTTTTGGTCGGTTTAAGGTAAACGGATCAGCTCCTAGGTTCGAGTCATAGTACGTTACCCTAATAACAATAGTTTAGCATTTGTTTATAAGAACCAAAGATTTCACAAAATCTAATATTTTGTGGTTTTTTTAAAATTATTTTATGACAATTTTGTAATTTTTCTTGCTTGAATCGGGTTGGTCGAAATCAAGGGTTCATCCAAAAATTTGCAGTCTGTTTTCAGTGATGTACCGTTGACACCATTTTATTCATAATTAGCACATACAGACAAAAAAACTAAAATTTTGGATCGGTCTTACAAGTTTTGGAGATTGAAGTTCTTGAAGCGGTCTCCGGGAAGTAATCCAAAAATTTCAAGTGTCAACAAAAAACACTAGCCCACGTCGACCAAAGTCCACAATACGGACACCAGAAAAGGCCTCTGACAGCTTTCGGCTAGCAGAACACTTTCGGCCAACTGGACAATCGGTCAATTCGGCTAATTGCTTTCTCTGAAGAATTTCGGCCTGTTGCACTCTGCCAATAGCACAATTCAGCCAACTGGACACCACCTTCGGCCAAACACACTTTCGGCCATCCGACATTTTCGGCCAAACTCCCACTTTCGGCCAAAACACGCACAGCAACTGATGCCAGCCCATGATGTTGTTGGTCGAATTGTGTAATAGTCATAGTGCTGCTCGATTCCCGGGTCGGGTCACCAAACACGTGACCGCGCTTAACTCAAACCTTAAAATATCTCACAAAAAAGTAATTAAAAGATGATATAACCAAATTGAATTAATTCTGGAAACGGCATTAATCGCAGAACTTGTCGATATAAACGGATAAATCATTCAAAAAAATCGGAACATTCGCGGCTTAACGTGTTAACATAACAGCAATTTTTTGTGATATGCGATGAATCACATACAGACTGCAATAACCTGTCAGACTAGGTAATTTTGCTACGTTTTATTATTAGTTTTAGTTATATATACATTTGGGTTCGGGTAAAAACATTGGTTTTTTGGGGGCTCGAACCTACGCCGAACCGGTCTGGTCAGTTTTTTAAGCTTTGTTCTAAACCACTGGGCCAACTGATCTTAATTTAGGACATTTAACTCTGTTTTATATTCTCGCTAATGAGAGGTTATTTGCGTGGCAACAGGTATTTTTTCCGGATAGTTTGCGTTTTTGTTGTAATTTTTAACAAAAAAAGTTTTTTTTTTATTTATCTTTCCCGTTTTTGGAACGTAGTCACTCGTTTTGTTTCGCAGCTGATGCGAAGCTCAGATTCGCCTGTGTGTAATTTTAACATGACAACATAGCAGTATCTTAAGCGTCTGTCAAATGAAATGCTGTTCTTGAGCGTGTGTCAAATGAGATAGATCGTAAGGATAGGTAGATAGTTAGGATAGATAGATAGTTAGTTAGGACAGATAGATAGATAGATAGATAGATAGATAGATAGATAGATAGATAGATAGTAAGTAAGGATAGATAGATAATAAGGATAGATAGATAGTTTGGATAGATAGAAAGTTAGGATAGATAAACAGGATAGATAGATAGTTAGGATAGATATATAGTTGGGATAGATAGATATTTAGGATAGATCGAAAGTTAGGATAGATAAACAGGACAGATAGATAGTTAGGATAGATATATAGTTAGGATAGATAGAATGTTAGATAGATAGATCAATAGATAGATCGATAGATAGATAGATAGATAGATAGATAGATAGATAGATCGATAGATCGATAGATAGATTAACTAAGTCCTTAATCTTAGTTTGAAGTGTTCCCAATGTTTCTGAAAACAACTGAAAATGCGAAGAAATCTGAAAGCCTTTTGTCAAAATATTAATAATTCCCCTGTAGATTTTAATTTTCCTAATGTGAAGGGCTCCAATTTAATTGGGTAGCTATAATGAAAAAAGGCCATCAAAAATGTTTTTTTTTTGGCCGCGAATGAAGTGAATTGACTCTAATGAATAATTGCACAGCAACGATGTCTACATTATGAGTAAGTCTTGCTGTGAACTTAGTGTTATTGTTTAGAATTACTGCAAGATTTTTACTCCAGAAAGCCCTCAGAGAAAGACCTCTACGATAATGTGATAATTGTGGACAATGTGCCGAAAGTGACGCCAGAAAAACTTGAGAAGCTAGAGAAGGTTTTATCAAAAACTTTCAAAACCTATGGGGAGGTGATGGACATATACTTTCCCCAGGATGAGAGTAATTCAACCAAAGGGTTTGTATTTGCTTAAGTGGTTTGTAAATCGGTTTTTGCATTGCTTCTTCAAAGTCCATATTTTAATTTCCCCGTTGTCTATCCTCTCCGAGTCTCATTTTAATAATTACTTATAACATTGAATTGCTAAATTTATGTAACGAGTGACCGGAGAAATTTATTCTTTCTTTCTTTACCGTAGGTTTGCCTTTGTTGAGTACAATACACCCGATCAAGCTGCAGCAGCTTTGAAAGGATTACAAAACTTCAAGTTGGATTCGAAGCATATTTTTTCAACTGTGAAGCTAACCGATATCGATGAGTTCTGTTCAAATGAAGAAGAAATAGTTGTTCCAGAGAAGCAGGAGTTCAAAGACCCCGTTAGTATCTTGTTATTCTACAACCTGCCTAAAGATTGCGCAACTGCGTTTTGATATAAATGTATACAAAACGGTAAATTGAAAATTTACAAGGTTTGAAATTGATTTCCTAAATTTTGGATTTTTGCGCTTGCTATCAGCATGTTCGGTCAATTATTTTTTTGTTCAGTTTAAGGATTATCTTCAACTGGTTTTCCGTGTTTTGTTTGCAATGTTTCTTCAATGGCGTGAATCTCCGCTTCGCCTCCTTGTGCTAACCAGCGGATTTTTTTTTTTGGGGGGGGGGGGGGGGGGGGTGATCGGCACGACGCTGACCTTTCCAGAGGTTTTACCCCCTGCCGACCCAAAAGTTCCCCCTTCGTACCATTTCGGCTGACTGACCCTTAAATTTTTTGTAAAGGCGCCTTTGAGAGGAGAGCGCGCGCCGAAAATAGTCCAAAAAGCGCCTAAAAACACCTTTTTTGGCCTGTTTTTTCAAAAATTTGCCTGCCGCGCAGAAAAATTTGTAAAAATAGCGTCTTTCAAGTGATTTGGGAGAGCTCAGAAAATCAATTTGATCGGCCGAAAAAAGTTTTTTTTTGAAAATCCGTCCTCCCCCTCGAGAAAATCCTAGATCCGCCCCTGGTTGTGCTACTAGTACTTTTACTCGGGCGCAGTGTACTGTTATTAGTACGGTGCAATTTTTTCCCAACCTAAGTCGCAAATAAAAGTGCTTCTTCTTGTGGAACTTAAAAAATCGGTAAGCTGCATTCGCTGTGTAATTTCACTTGCGAGAGCACGTGACTTGTAATCGTGAACTAGATTTTTTTCCTGTTAACAACTTTCCTTATAATTTCTGCTGCTCAATTTTGCTGCTGCTTAAACATGGTCAATTTGCTGAAAGTTCAAATGAAACTTCTTAGTTCATTTCAGGTAGTAATTAATTGTAATTTTTTAAAAATAAATGTTGATTTTTTTTCGGACGTTTGATTTTCATTCTAATTTTTGCCGGCTGATTTTACGTTTTTTTCCAAATGCAGTTTGTTTTATTTGATTCACTTTTCAAGGAGATTTTTAAAATTGTAGGTTTTTTTTATGATTCTATTAGTTTATCCCTGTTTGATAAAAACATGTATTATGTAAATGTATGTGATATGTTTTTTGAGACCAAGTTTTTTAAGAGTTATGAACGTAGTGAGTACTCTGATATAGGTCTTGCTGATTTTTTTTTAGAAAAAGTCATAAAACTTTTTTTTCAAATTCAGTGCACTTCTTTTGTTAAAAGGAAGGGAAACTCCACTATAGAGCAGCAATAGTAAAAAGGTCACGAAAAACGTGATCGACTTCTAATTTCGAAGATGGAAATTATTTATCAGATTTTCCTGCAAAATAAAAGTTTTGCCTATTGATCCAGTTTTCTCAATTGGGTTATATTTAGCAAAAAAGTCCATAATAATTGTTCTACAAATTCAAAAAGCTTTAAGGCCATCTATTCTTTTCTTCGAATTTCAAAAGTTTAAGGTTTTTGAAAAAAAACAAGTCAGTTTTTTTTAGTTACCTTGCGTTCATTACTCTTTTCCAATCTTCGATTGGCTATGTTTCTTTTTTCGCAAAAAATTTAGATTTTCTCGAACACTAATTTTTGAATAGCAAAAACGTAGTTTAAATGAAAAAACGGCTGGCTACCTTGTATGCCTGCATTCACGCCTTGTCTCTTTTTAGCGTACTTTCTACAGCCTTAAAAAAAGTTAATGGGGGGAATTTTTTTGCCCAAGTTCTTGGAGAGGAACTACCCTCCCAAATCTACGATTTTTGGTTCCATGAATAAATCAGGTTGTGGAAAAATCTGCGCACGCCCTATTTTTTTTCCGTAAAAAGTTATGGCCTTAGGAGAAGTCATAATTTGTAATTTTTGACCATTTTTCAATCCTTTTGATTTTCCTGAAAACTACGCTCCCAAGACTTTCACTTCAATCGAGTGCACTGGTTGAGTGAAGCTCCCCAACATTAGTAGTTAGGCCCAATTTTTTTTACAAGATTGTTATGGCCCTCGGGAACGTCAAATCTGTGCGTTTTGGACGTTTTTCGCTGTGAATACCCTTCCAAATCTGAAGTTTTAAGTTATTGGAGAGAACTAGTTGCGGGAGGATCCCCTGCATTATAGGCCATGCCCAACTTTTTTTAATCAAAATAAATATTGTCATAATTGTGGTGACTTATTCATCATTTTTTGTGTTTTGGCTTTTTGCAAAAACTACCCTCCCAATTCTGAGATTGAAAGGGTTGTCTGAAGCTTCCTGCATAAGAGTTTATGCCCAGATTATTAAAACAAAAAGTTATCACTCTTGTTAAAGTCAAATTTTTTGGTTTTCTGGCCGTTTTTTTTGCATTTTTTTTCACTTGTCTCGAAAACTACCATCCCAAATCTAAGATTTTGGGTTCAATCAAAAGAAAGGGTTGAGCGATGCACTCCTGATTAGTGCTCACGTCCAATTTTATTGCAGAAAAGTTATGGTCTTCAAAAAAGTCAATGTTTGTGGAAGCTCCCCTGCAGCTTTGTGAAGGTTCCCTGTATAGCTTTTACCGCCAAATGACACAAAAACAAATGGCCCTCGGCAAAGTCAATATTTCAAGTTTTTGACCGTTTTTGCAATTTTTTTTTACTTATCTCAAAAACTATCATCCCAAATCTGAGATTTTGGGTAAATTTGTGTTTTGAGATTTTTGAAATTTTGTTCTGTCTCGAAAATTGCCCTTCGTGATCTGAGATTTTGGGTTCAATCAAAAGAAAGAGCTGCGAGACTTTTCTGATAAGCGGTTACGACTAAAATTTTTCAACAGTAATTTATGCTATTCGTAAAATTCAAGTTACTGATTTTTTTTACCCATTTGGGTTCAATCAAAAGAAAGAGCTGTGAGACTTTTCTGATAAGCGGTTACGACTAAATTTTTTCAACAGTAATTTATGCTATTCGTAAAATTCAAGTTATTGATTTTTTACCCATTTGGAAACCTTTTGACTTTTATCGAAAACTATCCTCACTAATGTGAGACTTTGAGTTTAACAGAAAGAAAGAGTTGAGAAAAGCAACCTTGTATAAGCAGCTATGTCCAGTGTTTTTTTGCAAAACAGTTATGGCCCTCGAAAAGTCAATGTTTTTATTTCTTGTCCGGTTTTTGAAATGACTTTTTTTTTTCGAAAACAACCCATCCGAATCTGATATCAATGGTTCAATCGAGGCCTTAATCAAGAATCCGTGCATAAGCCGCTAGGCCTTTAAGTTTTAAAAAATGTTTGTCTTCGTTAACATTCCAATTTCTCAATAAATTTCATATTTATTTAGAGTTTTCCAATTTTTAGAGTTTTCTGGTTTTACCCATTTAATCCTGCATCAGTGCTATAAATTTGGAAAAAGGTAAACAGCTACCTCCAGCTTTTGATGGGTTCCTAGTACTATAGATGAAAATTGTCTGTATTATGGAAATTTACCAACTGATTTTAAATTATATTATTTATCTTTGTCGGTTAAACGGGTTCGGCTTACGTTATGTGGTCAATCAACTAATTTTGGGTAGTACCGCGGTTTATTTTTTTAAAATGATTTTGACTGTTCCAGGAGGGATGGTTCGTATGAAGTTGGATTTGAAAATTTTATGCTTGAGTTTTTTAATGACCACAGTTTAGTTTTTTCGCCTTAGCTGACACTTTTTCCTTGATTCTCAAGGTTTTAAAAGGTTATTTATTAAGACCATCCAAGCCAAGATATGTAAATTTTGTAGATATATTTTCGGCTAATTTTTTCAGCCAATTTTCCAAAAACACAACTTCTTTCTTTTTTCTATCAATATCTTGTAATGCAATGTTTTTTTATCGTGTCACAAGTGTTGTGAAGCTCCGCAGTGCCTCTGTGTTACACTTCCGAGAGCAACGAGCTTTTATTTTTCCGTAAAAAATGTTTGTTACAAATCTGTAAATTGAACTTGTTTTTTTATTGAATCGTAACAACTTCGAGGAGCAATTCCACTCAGAGAGAGGTAACCTCAGACTTAAGGGTTGTATTTGCACCTGAAGTTCTGGGCTGCGAGTTTCAATCGGAACTTGTTTTCTTCAGTATATTTGAAAACGAAGTTTTTGAAATGTTTTCTTTGTTTTGTTTTTGTATAAAGATTTATAAAGCGGAAGTTTTTTCGGCTTAGTTTTTTGTCCTTCGAAGATCAAAAATTGATTATTCTAAATTTTTTAAAAAATTTATTTTAAATTGATTATTTTAAATTTTTTATTTTAACCGCTCACAATTTTGTTGGAATCTTTTCGTTTTTGGCTCAGTTGGTGTCAAGGCTGTTGGTGTCAATGCTCAAGGCTGTTGGTGTCAATGGTCAAGGCTGATTAGTATCCTCATCCGATGACAGACATACGGATAATTTTTTTTTCGTTTTTTCGACTTTTTTCAAGTTATTTTTTTGCTTAATTTTTAAAAAACTGACTTCTTGTAATGAATTGTGTTAATTGTATCACAACTGTTGCGAAGCTGCCCTTCGCATCTGTGTAAAATGTGCTTCGACGTTTGAATGGTGGCAAGTTAATACGAGATTTTGAATTGCATAATATATTGGGAGTTTGGCTTAATATAATTAATTTATCACACGCAAAGTGAGCGTAATGGCCTTTAGCTTAATACATTCCAAATTATTACGTGCAAATTTTGAAGTGTGTCCTTTTTAAAGTTTCTGTGCATCCGAATTTTTGCCGCTTTCTTGCTAGATTTTGCAAATTTGCGAAGCCTTGCCTTTGTAAATTTTAATCGCGCTCTATCGTCATAAAAATTTGTGCGACAACAATTTAGTATGGCAGTTTTTCATATTCACAGATCAATAAGCGTATTCTCACCTAATTTTGGCTTATTGGTTGCTTGGTAATTACCAACAGCCTATTTATTTTATGCTGCTAGCTGTAATTCTCGAGCCTTTGCGATAAGCAATGGCATTGCAATCGTTTACTAGACTTTTTCCCGTTAAAACCTTTGTTTATTGAATCATACATTTCAAAGCAAGTTCGAACTGATAAGTTTGCAAATATGCATATTTGATTTGCTTTTTTAGGGCTACAGCTTGCTTTGTAGGCGGTGGTTGCAACATTTTTCTGTAAAGTTTTTAAAACGTTTTCAGTTGTTTTCAAGCCTTTTTAAGGGTCGGCTTTACTTCTGTCGGCTGATACACCTTATGTTTTTAAGTTGTTTCCGGTCGTTTTTGATATTGATTCAGCTTTGACGAGGAATGTTTGAAATTTTAAAATCTTTTCTCCGAGCTTGTGAAAAGTTAAATATCATTAAAAAAGTTTGCGTTTTTTTCAAGTTTAATCTCTTTTTAATAAAGTTTTATTCGAACTTTTATTTGAGATTTTTTTAGCGGCATTCTGTTTTATCAAGTTTTTCCAAAGTATTCGAAGAAGCGAAGGTAATCGTAGTCCTTAGTTTTACCGCAATTTTTTGGCGTTTTTTTTCAATCAGTTCTTGCGTCAAATGATTATTATTTTGTCTTAAGTATTTTGCTTTCAGTGCTTTCTAACCGCTTTTAATGAGGATCGATAGAATCTGCGAAGAAGAGATTCGAGTTTTTGAGGCCTTAAGTGCTATTAGATCGCAAATTACTTTTAAAATATTTTCATTTATGTTTTGCTCGTAAACTTAAGAATTTTTTTAAGTTTGAAAGAAATTTTTTTTCGCCTTTTGTTTCTAGTTTAGAGAAGTCATTGTATTGAAAATTTTTCGTTTTAAAACTACCAAAGTTTTCCAAAATCAAAAACAAATGAAATCGACGACAGTTTATTCGTCAGCTTTTTCTTCGGATAATTTTTTTTTCGTCTTATTTTGATTGGATTTAGTTCTCAGCAGGTGTTTGTCTTAATTCGTTGTGATTTTTGAGATTTTTTGTTGCTAATCGATTCAAGTTATGACATTCCGAATTTTTGAAAAAAACTCAAAAGTTTCTCTAAATTCATGCTTTTTACTCTTGCGATGAGCAAGGGTGTTGCAATCGGGTAGTAGAATTGTTTTTCCACAAACAACTTTGCTCATAGAATGGTCATTTTAGTAGTAATGGTAAAAAGCATTTCTGAAAAGCTCAAATTCCAGAAATTCAAATAAATTTTCTATCATTTAAGTAGTAATTAGGTAAAGACTGTTTCAGGTTGTAGTCGGTTCATTTTCCGTTTTTTTTTAAACGCTCAGTTTTTTATCCTGTAGGATTTATTGGCTTGGTTTTTTTAAGCATGCGTTTTGTACCAATTTAGTAAGTTCTCTACCTTAACTGAAAGCTAAGGTAATGTGTAAATATACCAAGTCTTATTTTGCGTATTGTTTTTTTGTCATTTTAAAAACTTATTGAGTGATTTGGAGGGCAAAATATATTCATATACGATTATTTACTTCATTATGGATGGGTCGTGAAAACTTTTTAATCTTCATGATTTTTTTTATGACAACAGTTTTGTTCGGTGAATGATTTCGAATGGTTTTTAAGGTTGTTAATGAACATCATCCGATGCAATGATGATGTTTTTGAAGCTGTAGTTTTCCAACTTTTGCAAGTTATATTTTAAAGTAATTTTCAACTTAATTGCACTAAAGTTTTAAAAGCTAGTGCAATACTGGCTGTTGTGCTCTGTCGTAGGTTTTTATCAAAATGAATTTCAGTTTGAATGAAACATTTGAAAGTTTCGGGTGTTGTTTTTTTTATTTGTCAATTTTTTTAAAGATTCGGTGGCTTTTTGTATCGCAAGTAGTATATATATTAAAAAACCAAAAATTTGCTGTTGCTGATGCTTTAAGCAATTTTCATTGAAGTTGCAATTGCAATGTTCTTCAATGTTATTTCAGGGGATTTTTTTTCTTCACTTGTGTCTGCTCAAAGATTGTCGCCTTTGTTTCGTCGTGTAGCTAATTTACTTATTAGACTAGAGTCAGCTTAGTGTGTTATTAAGAACCTTTTTTCCTAACATAAGTCGCAAATATTGGTGCCACTTTTGGGGCATCTTTACAGCTTTTTGATAGCATGTGCTTTGAAATTCGAATAGTAATAAGTTACACAGTTGATGCATTTTTAATTATTCAAATGAACCGAAACAAGTTATTTGTTTCAAACAACGTAACTCAATAAAACTTGATTTCAGAAATTTTCTAACTCAATATATCTTGCAGTTTTTTGAAATGCATAATTTAAACATAATGTGGCTTTATACTTTGCGATTTGTTACAATCAAATTAGTGTGGATGCCTTCAGTTTGTTATATTTTTCCTAATTATAATTTGCACAAATATCTATTTGTATTTGGTGCCACTTTTGCTTAATTTTGTAGCAATTTATTAGCATATGTAGCTGATTTGTTCGTGAATAGTGTTTGTCGGTGGTTAAGCATGAGTGGCTCAATAGTTAGTGCGTGAGACTCTAAATCTCCTGATTACAGTAGGTCGCAGATCGAATCCTAAACCTAGCCGAATTTTCCTAATTCGAGGCTTATTTCCATTTTTTCTTTTTGCACTTTCTAGAGATGCTTTTTTTTTGTGTTCTAGCTAGTGATTTCGAAGTTTCGCCTCTATGTCAAGTGTTTGGCATCTTTGCCTAAAATGAAACTTTACTGAGAAATACGAAAATTGGTTTTTATAAGATCTAGTTTTTTCGATCTTTTTTTTTCATTTTTCCCGATTCATGTTTTAAAAGTTAAAATAACAAGGGTATTGCTATCGGGTACTAGAGTTTTTCCCGTAAGTAACTTATTTCACACAATGATTCGAAATAGTAAATTTAGGTTTAGTTCATAATAGATTCAAAGTTTTTGCGTCATCGGTACACGTTGTCTTGTGCAAACGAATACACCTGTCGGCCTAATATTTGCCTGTTTATGTTGTGTCGGCTTAGAATCGTTTATTTTTGCTGTAAACAATTTTCATTATAGTAGCTTAGATTTTATGACATAGTTTTTCATGGCAATAATTTTTTTTTGCGTTTTCTTTTTTTCTTTTGTTTTTTCCCCGCCTGATAAGTTTCGGCCCAGACTAAATGGGCTTAGTGGCCTCATTCTGTGTCCTTTGACGAGCGGAAAAAAGCTTTTATGGGCGTGTGTTTGTATTTTGTGTCTCAATAACTTTTTTCATAACAGTTTTTTTAATATGTTTTTTTTTCCGGCTGAATAGGTTTTGGACATTGTATCGGCCTGGTGGCCTCATTGTTTCATTTAGTGAGCAATTAAAGGTTTTTGTGTTTTTGTGTGCTCTGAGGGCGAGGAGGACTTGTTAATTTTTTTATGCCTTAAGTCTTGTTGATTTTGTTTTTGGCTTGAAGGGTTTCTGCTAAGGTATTTTCGGCTTTGTTGCCGCATGGTAAATTTTGTTCTGATGCTAGCTTCACATTTTTTTGTCTGGCATGTTTTTGTTTCAAACTAGCCTGATTCGTTCTAATAGATCTATTTTTTTGACATTTTCCAACTTTTTTCGATTTTTTTCGACCTGGCGTTTTCGTGTTTTGTGTATCGCAAGTGGACCGAAATGCAGCTTCGCCTCGGTGTTTTAAATTTCGTTTTATCGGCTTCATTGGTTTTTTTTGTTATGTCGACTAGTTTTTTTCAGTATTGTTTTGTGGTGTTTTTTCAATTAGATTTATGATTCGGTGCCTTTCTGTATCGCAAGTGGTGCGAAGCTCAGCATCGCCTGTCTGAAATTGAATTTGTGTTTTTCCTAAAAAAAATCCTTTGTCGACTGAATTGTTCCCATCTTATTTCCTATTCGCTAGCAAGCTATGCTAATTTTTGCAAGTGATGCAAAGCTCAGCTTCGGCTCTGTGTTGTACTTGCCAGACGATCGATTGTCTTGCAGAGTGGAACTAGTTTTTGTTGCCGTAAGCAATTTTTCTTCAAGAAAAATTAATTCAAATAAACTGTGTCGGCGACTTCAGCATATTTTGAGAATAACTGCATTTTGAATTCCCGTTCTGTTTTCATTTCATCCCGCTGGTGGGTTATGGCAAACTTGAAAATTTCGTCTTTCAATTATTGAGGTAGTTTGTTATGTTCTAAAGAATTGAAGTGGACTTAAACTGTTTTCTATAATTATTCATACAAATAAAGTGGAAAAGATCTGACTTTTCTAGGGAGATTTATATGGATGGGTTCTTGACGAGCAAGCACGTGACCACTATGCCGTGATATACAACTTCGACGAGCACAGACAGACGAACCAAGTGGCTGTTATCCAGAATAACTACTCGCAGCCCATTACCCTGCAGGAGAAAATGGTAACAAATTACTTGATATGACATAGTGGTTCCGACTTAAGTTCCAACAACTGAGCTCAATTTGCGTTTGTAGTATTCCGATGTGTATGATAATCAGAGCATAAGCATGAAACTTGGTAGCAGAAGGAAATGGGATTCGTTCAGATCAATAATTAAAAAGACGTATATGTTGGATTAGCTCATTTAATTTGTGGATAGGAAAGGTGCCCTACGGCGGAATTATTAGCAAGATCAGAGAATTGTACTGTGTACAAGAAATACAGTGCTGATTTAGGATCAATTGAGCAATCCCCCCCGTATTGACCAATTGAGCTATCTCCCCCCAAGCAAAAACTAAGACACCTCAAAAAGGCGCCAACAAACGCAATTAGATGGTTGATGTGTTTATGGCACGCAATCAATTGATTGACTGAAGTTAATTTTATATGAGTATCGATAAAAATTTTGAAAAAGAAAAAAATCGAAAAATTGAAGAAAAAAAAATTAATTTGTAAAAATGTTGTTTGGGCGACTCTTGCCTCTCATTGAGGAAAACGAGTATCAGGCTTGGTGCTCTGAACTTGTATCTGAATACCAAAAAAGCTCTTCAGCACCTTACTATTGTACGCAATAGCTTCTTTTTTCATTTAGGACAGAAAAAAGTCGCTTTATGTGCCTCAGTTTTATTGATTTTGCTTTCACTCTGAATGTAATTTTTGAGCTTTGATATTGTAAAAGTTGGCGTTCCATATTCGTTGGAGAATCTCGTTCATATCATATCATTCAAACTATTTTCAAGTGGTTATAAACATGTCTGAAGTACCTATTGAGCTATCTCCCCACCCCCCCCCCCCCCACCCCACGCGAGAATGGCTTTTTGGGGGGGGGGGGGATTGCTCAATTGATCCCTGATTTAAATTAAACGAACAAACTTGGAAATTTCAAACGCGTGTTTCCTCAAATTTGGTTAAGATTAGACAAAAAGTGAAAGAACAAAAATTGCTTAGAATTTCACCAGAATTAATATGGTTTAGTTTTTTCTCCAAAACTCTCAGCCAAAATTTAGTCCAAAAATGGGTCATTTTGGCTTTTTTCAATTAATCAAGAATTTTACTCTAATACTACTTTGTTAATTGATGAGAAATACATATCACAAGAAGCCTCTTAGACAGCCCAACAAAGTTCTAGAAGGGTTAAATCTCCAAAAACCTGTATAAGAGAAAATATTTTTGCTTGATAGTCAAGAAATGTGATTTTTACTATATAAAACCCAAAATCTTTGCTTAAAAACAAATTTTAAACAATTTATCCAAATTTTTTGGAGATTTAAACTTTCTGGAACTTTGTTGGGCCGTGTCAATTAACAAATTAGTTTTAGCGTAATTCTTGATTAATTGAAAAAAAAACCAAAATGTAAATTTTTGGTTGAGAATTTCCGCGAAAAATTGCACCATATTAATTCTGATGAAATTCAAAGCAATTTTTGTTAAATTCACTTTTTGTCTAATCCTAAACCAATTTGAGAGAAACGCGTATTAATTTTCAAGTTTTTTTCGTTTTGTACGGATAATTTAAATCAGCACTAGATTCTATGACTAAATTTTAGAATTGGACAGAAGCTACAGTTCTATGGTCACCCAGAGGAGCATACTTGGCGTCCATGCACAACAAGGGTGCAGCTCTTTGGGGAAATTCGAATTTCGAGAAGATCATGCGCTTCAAGCACGATGGCATCGATTTCATCTCGTTCTCACCGTGCGAGACCTACCTGATAACTTTGAAGAACCCGATGTATGACAGACCAGGGGAGTGCATAATATGGGAGATTTTGAGTGGGGCGGAGAAAAGGAGGTTTCAAGTGACTCAAATGGACTCTTTGCCCTTCTTCAAGTGGTCGCATGACGAGAAGTACGTGGCCAAGAAGGGAGATGGAATATTGCAAGTTTATGAAACACCGGTTAGATACTTCATGAATCAAGATTTCCATCAAATTCGAATAAGGCTAGTTTTCTTGGGTACCGCGGCAACTCGCAAGAAAAGACAACTCGCAAAATTTAAGGAAAGAGACAACTCGCAATTTTTCAAGCTTATACTTTATATTCTCGGTTTAAGGGCGTCGGTGGGCGCGCGTCGCGGCTATAACCGGCTCTAAATTGTATAAAGTCCTACCCTCTGTTGGCAAGCTCGCAACACGTTGGCGCGAGTGCGGCGGTGAGTATGTTGCGAGTTGTCTTTTAATGCGAGTTGCCTTTTCTTGCGAGTTGTCACATTACGGATTTCTTTGGCCAAGAATTTGTAAATGCTCCCACATTTCTTGTAAATGCAACAAGTTGGAAATAGACAACCAAGACCCAACAGTTGTAAAAAATATCTCCTTTTGTCAAAAACTTTTGTATATTATTTGATGAGATGGATTTATTATCGCAAGAGATGGATAATTATCTCAAGTATTTAAATTCTATTTGGAGTTGATGAACGTGGTGAAGATTCTTATTTAGTTCGTGATATCTTTTTTTCAGGAAAATGTCTTAAATTTTGTTCACGCTCAAATTTGAGTTTCGCGCTTTGACTTAAGATTTTTTTTCAAGTTCAGTTCATTTCTTTTGTTACACTAGTGAACAAAATTAAACACAAATTTACGTTGTTTTTCTCAAAAACGTCTTTTTGTCAAGGTCCATATTGGACATTTATTGGGAGTTTCACCAAAGTTTTTAGATCGACCTCCAGCAAATAATCTAAACTACAATCTCTGAAGATTTCAATTTTTGATTTGCATTTTTTCACAGTTATTTCCTGGTCTAAAAATGCCAGTTTTCACCATGTGTATTAGGTTTCTCCAATGGTGTGAAATAATACGAAACAAAAGAGCTAAGGAAAGTTATCACACAACAATGAAATTTACTCGTTGAAAATGTTTCACATCGCATGATCAGTTTATACTACTCCGCTGATTCAAAAAAGTGTTCACTCCCATAGAAACCTCATGGCAAATGGTTAAAACTGGCATTTTCAGAATTGGAAAAACAACTGGCAAGTGATTTAAATCAAAAATTGAAAGTTTAATAGAGTGTACTTTTTTTCTGATTTCAATGACTGTTTTCTAACTGTATCTTGGCTATATATCCAAAAAAAACAAGCCAGTTTTTTTCCCGTACGTTCATGTACTCTTTTCCAACTGTCTGTTGGCTGTTTTAGACTTTCGGTCTTTTGGATAAGCAAAGTTTCAAAATACCAGGAATACAAAGCTTCGAGTGGTCACCGAGTGGCAATTACTTCATCTGCTGGATACGAACAGTGAAGAAGGAAGATTCGCTCAAAGACGTGCCGGATAAAGTATCGGTCATTGAAGTTCCCAGCAGACGCGACCTCTGTTCTAAGTCCATGTTCTTTGTTAACTGCATACATTTTCACTGGCATCCGATGGGGGATTACTGTTGCGTGCAGAGTGATCTGAGAGGCAAAAAAGGAGTGAACCATTTTTTACATGTGTTCGCCTTTGGAGCAAAAGAAATCCCAGTTGACTTGCAAGAAATTAAAGGTATGAATTCTTGCGATGAATCAAGTATTCATCACGAGTTAATTTATCTAATTTTACTTAAATCGTAGATTAAAAAATGAAATATGATCTTCAAGATCAAATATCATTCACGAGTTTGATTGATTATATCAAAATGCAATCGGCCAGCTAGTTCTTCACAGTGTAACTAATTACAATTCACGAGTTATTGTTTAGAACCGATTCAACAATTTGCATGGGAACCCACAGACACAGCACGGTTTATCGCCCTGGTCGGAGAAAATCCGAGAACAACCGCTTGCGTGTTCAGTGTACAAAAAGGAGATGGCATTCGCCAGATTGGCAGTATCGAAACACAAGCTAATTTTGTGGCTTTCAGTTCAATTGGCCGATACGCAGTCTTAGCTGTGCTTAAAAAGTAAGTAGTTTGGATTTACTCTCATAATATTCCTTTTAATTTGGTTCACTTATAGTTAGCACTTTTCATTCCCCATGATACCTTTTACGGAATCATCGCCTTCTTTACCGTTGTGCTGTGAAGGTGAAACGACTGAGACGCTCTCCATAAATACCATCACTACCACAAGTTAATTTGTCCTGATGAAGTATTATTGAACAAAATCAGTGTTCGCTCATTACTTCGAAGGTTTTTTTTCTACGTAATATGCTCAAACTAATATTTTGGAGGTTTATTTTCGAATTCATTTATCAAATAGGGTAAATTACGCTCGTAAGTGTCAAAGATCAAATGGCACTGAAACAAGAGCTCGAATTTGAAAAGTGGTCTAAAGTCAAACTTTTCTAGCGGCGCAGAGACAATTCAGCCAATTTGAAATACAGAAAGTTCAGCCAAAAAACTCAGACATTTCGACCAAATTAGACATTTCGACCAAATTAGATTAAAGAGACTAGATCAAGAGAAAAAATAAACTTGGTTAATTTGATTAGAATCAGAAGGCTTTCAACTCTAACAAAAAAATTTCAAGTATCAAAACAAATGTTCTATGCTTAAAATTCTTGGATATATGTGCATTAAAGGTACAAAGTTTTAAATTCTCCTTTATATAGTCTCGATTGTCATTTCTTGCGTTGTGCATGAGTTTTGAATTGGCGATTGAATATTTATGTTTCGATTTTCTGATAATATCACAGGCCATTAGTCTGGACAGTAATTTTAGCTTCTTTTGCTCATCTTTGAAACCTTAAATGAGCTTGATGAGGGCTTGGTGCTTTGTCGACATGAATTTTTTTTGAATTTGCCATTCGATGCCTCCACTGCATTATTCGTACGAGGTTCTCCGCTGAGCACCGATTAAAAACGTTCCAATTGGCAATGTCAAACTTTGTTTTGACGCGTGTTTCCTCGACAGGCACCAATATCGGTGTCTTCAGAGTAGTCCGATATACTATGAAATTCCTCTGAAGGATCTTTTTCGGAGATCTTCAAATGCAAACGTTACATCGTCAAAGGGAAGGAATGCCAAATAAATCATTTTTTGACTTTCAGGCGACACTCATCATCGTCGTGGTAACTGCGCGTAAATCCAAGTATTTGTACATTGCGCCATACTGCCTGGCCCAGGTGGAGAAAAATCAGAATTGATTTTCTGTATCAAGCTGTTTTTCTTAATGGCGTTGCGCCATGCTGCCTGGCACAGGTGGAAAAAAAATCAGAATTGATTTCCTGTATCAGGCTTTTTTTTATGATGGCGTGGCGAACAGCGGCTTCATTATCAATTACTTCTTTTTTTTTCTGAATTGCTCTAAGGAGCAAAAAAGTTTGTCATACGTGTCATGAGCCCTGTTGGGCAGCAGAGCGTTAATCAAGGGTATAGGTGTTTTCGATCACACCATGTATAGTATAAACTTGGTAGAAGACATCTGGTGCCACTGAAAAATTTCCGTCGCAATGGCAGTTGGCGGACTGAGAAAGCAAATCGAGCACAGGTAATACTGCAAATACTCAAACTCCATCGTCCGAGTTTTGTCGATGCTCTCAAGGTTTTTTGGTTGTGGCATTGTTTCTAAAGCTTGTTGCGTGATTCGCATTATACTTCAAAGGGACGCAGAGTAACTGGATATTGTCGGCGCTGCATAAATAGGAAGTAATTTGAAGTCGTTGAAGGCAATCTGTCGGGAAGCGTTATCAGTGTTTGTGCCGTTTTCTCGAACTTCGTTTGCAAATTTCTTAGCTCGAATTTTTCTTAGCTTAGGTCAGTTCAAAATCCCTACTGCTCTGATTTTTCCGAATGTATATTGCCATTTAATGAAGCCGTTTTTAAGTTTTTTTTCACGGTATCTATAACCATTAAGACAAAGATGCTTTTTTACGCTTTCAGATAATACGAATTCCGTTTTATACGTCATTTTTTGGTAAAAGTGAATGAACGAGAATGATTCAGATACTAATAAACAAATTGTTAAAACTAGTTGCTAATTAAGATTAATCAACTTTCCTTGTGCAACTGTGCTAACTAACTGCAAAAAGTAGGCGTTAAACTTGATACTGGTTTTTGGTTGGACAATGTTTTAATCGCAATTAGTTTATCTTTTTCAAGAAAATTAAGTTTCAATTTAGTTTCAACCAACTACCCAAATAACCTGATAGGCGGTTGCACCCTCCCCCGCCTAAGGTATGATAAGAATAGCAGCGTAACTGTGTGGCCATTACATGGTAAGGGTGTTGAACCGTTTAACTGATATCATTTTGACCGCCTGTAAAAATCTCAGTTCCGCGTCTGCTTTCATGTAAATTGTTTAAATTTTAAGTAATGTGCAGTCTTTTGTTGAGTTTCAATTTTATTTAGCAACTATTCTAATTTTTGAAATACTATGATTGTTGTAAAAATTTATTATGTTTAGGCTCTCTTGGTTCTGTTAGTTTTTTTTGCTTCATTTGTATTTGAAAGGAATGATTATAAGCCGTGTTATTAAAGCTTTGATGTTTAGCTGCATGTGATAAGTTTTTCCGCGCACGTTTTAAAGCTGTGAATAGTCTTTGGTCAAATTGTCTGACTCATTTTGACTGAATTGTCTAATTTTGAATTTGGCTGAATGATCTCTCACCAAAATTTCTGAACGCGGTTTTAAGTATTATCTATTTACCACCCAGGGTGTCAAAAAAAGGTTCACCCTTGATCTAAGTTTCATTCATAATGAGTCAATCATATAGATTTTCGTAAAAATTGCTGGTGATTGTTATTTTTCATTGAAAATATGAAACAATCCGGGTTCTGTGCTTTTTTGAGCTCCTTAAAAACTGTCTTTGTGCAATGTTTTTGTTTAAGAGTAATGAAAGTAGTTAAGACTCTTATGTAGGTCTTGCTGATTTTTTTTTCAGGAAAAGTCTTGAAAGTCTCTAATAACTACAGATGTGCATTCATACATATTGATATATTTATGAATGCACTTAGGTATATATGCACTTCTTGAGTTCAATTGAAGTTCCTCTGCCGAAAGTGACGTAAATAGCTTTCTCGAGCGTGGAAATTGCGCGAAAAAACGAACAGTTTCTAGTTTCGAAAGAGGAATTTATTCTTAAGATTTCCCAGCGGAATAAAAACCTTACCTATTGGTCCAGTTTTCTCTAGTTGGGTTTATGTTATCAAAAGAGCGCCAATCATAATTGGTCTAGAAATTCAAAGAGCTGAAAGGGCATCTATTTTTTTCTTTGAAATTTGAAAGTTGGGATTTTTTCAGAAAGTCATGGGTTGCTTGCGTTCATTACTGTTTTTCAATCTTTGTGGCTAGGTTCGTTTTTTTTCTTCTGGTAAACGTCTTTTTTAACTGTTTTTTACGCTTAACTTTGATCTTTCACGGTTTGGCTTTAGTTTTCTTTTCAAATTCATTTTCTTTCAAAGGAAATCAAGTTACGCTCTCCAATTATAGAAATACAAATTGCGAGAGATTTTAGTTTTTTAGATGTAATAATATAATCAAATATTGACTCAGTTTCCAGAATGGAGTTAATTTTTTGATACGAAAGATTTTTGAACACAAAGATCTTAAACGTGAGATATTTTTTTTGTTGTTGAAAAATACTAGAAAAAATCTGTCTTTCAATTTCCTTGACTACATTGAAACTTTTCCAACTCCATGTCGGCTATGTTATTTTGATTTTCGGCGTGACATTTGGCGAAAGATCAGAGTTGTCTGCGTTGTATGAGCTCCTGGTTCTAAAAATTGTTGTGACATTTCTGGAGTTTTTTTTCGTTTTCAGCAACAAGCAGGCATCAAGCACAGGAACATTGGAGTTTTTGGACATAGACCAAGATCCGGTCGCAATTACAAATAAGGCAGAGCACTATGGTATGTATGGTCTTGAGTGGGATCCATCTGGAAGATACTGTGCAACATACAACAGGTGTCTCTTCACTAAGGTCAGTGTTTTCTTAATTAGACGGATTGCAGAACTCAGCAAACAGTTTGAAATTTATTGATGCTAACTCAGTTAGAGTATAAAAGTGCTCTTTAGGTTGCGGTTGTTTTACAAAAACTCAATTGGTATGACCAGTAGGCTGTTCAAGACTAATTAATATAAACCAGTATTTGAGTTAAGTGGACTTGCTTTCAAAACTTTACTAAAGCCATAATTGTTGTCGTATTTAAGATTTATTTAAGACGATTTATCTGGGCTGAGTAGTGTTGCCTCACCCTCAAGCAACGAGCACGGATCATGGTGGGCCTCGAACATCCGACCTTTCGATTGAGAGGCGGAGACGTTACCACTTCACCAACGCTCTTTTCGATATATTGTTGCTTGGGTTGAAACAGATGATGTTGCATGGGTTTTTGGTACGCTTTATTCTTAATAAATTACTGTTTTTATTTAAGCACGACAATCATGTGGAGATTTTCACTTTCCAAGGACGTAGACTGCAAAACAACCGAATGGACTCCCTGTATCAGTTCACATGGAGACCGAGACCGCCTAGATATGTGACACAGGAGCAGAAAGACGAAATCAAGAAGAACTTCAAGAAGTACCAAAACAAGTTCGAGACACAAGACAAAATGTCACAGTCCAAGACTTCGAAGGTGAGCGAGACATTGTATTTACTACAGCAACTGGAAAAAAAACTACAAAGACCTTTTCCTAAAACAAAAAATGATATCAGGTAGCGCAGACTTGATGTGAGAATAGATAATCAATAATTTAAGAAGCGCAAAATATTTTTTTCTGAAAAGGACGATTGAGCTAGGTTATTATATTTTAAATAACGTTCAAGCCAAAATTTTGATATCAGCTTCTGATAATAGTTTTTTTTTCTTCTGAACTTCGAAAATAATCAGATCAGTTTTTCTCGATATTGAGACAGCGGTATTTTTTTGAACTTTAATCACAACATGAAGTGATATAAAATGAAAATATGCAGGTGCTTTTTTCTATCGTTTTGTCCCGAGAAATAACATTATGTTTATCACTTTCAGAAAGTGTTTGCCTTTGAGACTAGCAAGGGTATTGCAACCGGTTATTTGGCTTTTTTCCCGTAAACAATTTGGTTCACAAAATTCGCGCGTGAAGTGTTTTACTTGCTTTCTTATAAGTTCATTTTCAATCAAATATCTGGCGTAGAGGTAGCATCCGTTAAGACGTAAAAGGCTTGTGGTTCGAATCCGGCCGGGAGGTGGTTTTTGAACTGCAGTTTTTGCGCTTTCTCGTTATATCGTCCGTCGGTTTATTTTATCGACTTAGTTCCAGTAGCCTGACTTTTTTTGCAAGTTCAGTTTTCTTCCAGTTGCTGTAACACCCATGCTTGAGACGACAAACTCCTGGAGTTCGATTCCAGTCGGGACCTGTGTTTTCGCAAGCAGAAAATTGTCGGCTAATTTAGATTTTTTTCTGTATGCTTATTTTTGTCAGCTTAGTTACCGCATAAATTTTTTTGGAAAATTCTAGCTTTACGAAAGCTCCGCAAATGGTGCAGGTAGTAGATATTTTTTTCATTTTAATCAATCGTAGTCATTCATTTTTGTATCGCAAGCGGTGAAAAGCCCAGATTTGCCTCCATGTGTCAAAGATGAAATTGTATGGCCCAAATTAGCATAAACGAAAACTTTTCAAGAAAACTTGTTCATATTAGATATCAAACGCTTAATGTTGCTGCTTTTATACAGCTGGGCTTTGAGGGTCATTGCCATGTAAACTGTTAGAGATGTCTTTTTTTATTTTATCGAATAAAGTTTAGGCTGTTTGGGTCCCTACATGGGTTTAAACGGGAGATTCTCTAAGAAAACCATATTATAATTATCACTTCTAATCTTTTGCATCTAATCAGGAGTCAAATACAGTTGGACTTTTTTGACCCTTACTGAGATCTGGATGCAAATTCAAATACTGAGTGCAAAAACAGTATAAAAAAAAGGACCCTGTCATGAGGTGACATTCGGTACCTCGTTCCTTACGTGTTCTTTTTGCAGTATCTCTGCAGTTTGTGATGTTATTAACCTTTGGTCAAGGTCAGCGGAGGCATATGTTGAGTGCCGCGTTGAACGTGGTCACTCTCTACTTTATCTTCATCGATGTTTGATGTTGTCATTTTCCTTTTTATAAATCTCTGTCGAAAGTCATTATGTTATTCAAGTTAAATTGATACCGTGTATCTGATTAAACTATTCCTTTTAACCAACCATCTAACTAAGAACAAATTTACTTTTCACTTTACAACCAAGTTTTTGAGTTAGTATTTCTCGGCAAATGTCATGACGCAGTCAGCCGTTCGTGTGAATGAAGACAGGACTGTCCTGTTAGGCATAACTCCCTTCTGGGTGAAACCATCTATTAACCCACCGTTTATGTGAGAGTCGTGGGTTGGCCAGTTTTTCGGACTCAAAGATAACTTTAACCCACACGACTTTCTTGCCGCGCCCGTGGAGATGATTGATGAACCTCCTCCGAAACCAAAAACTGTTGGCACTGGGGAAGATTCATCGGAGGCCAATGCTCGAGTCCTCAGGGATTAAGCAGCTGTCCGAATAGTGAACGAGTTGAACACTGAGCGTAGGAGAAAAGGTCCAGGGTTAAGTCAAAACTGGTTCTATCATGAGGAGGCTAGATTAAAATCCTGGTTGTTTTTCTCGCTGGGTAATGAAGGCCAGAGGCGATTTGCGGACTCGTTTCCACGTCAGATTTTAGTGTTACGTCATTCAGGGATTTTCACATTAACTGTGAAACGTTTTTTAAAGTGGAACGTGATTACACAGTCGAACGGACTAAGCTGTATAACACTTTCTTTATGCTAGAGAACGACCATCTTTCTATGCTCGGCTGAGGAGTGCTCAGGTTGCTTTATGCAATTGACCAAATGCTCAAGAGAGGGAGATTCTCAAAGACCTTTTTATTGGATGAGTTCGTGATGTTGACGTCGAACAACAGCTCATCAAAGCCATGACGGATTTAGATAACACTTTTAAACTTGCGTTGGAATGTTAGAAGGGAGCAAGCACGTCAGCTCAATTTCAGAAGCTACTTCCTCATAATCAGTATTCGAATACCATTAAAGTCAAACAAGAACCAGCTTTTTCTATTCAGCAGTCTAGAGGAAAACGCAATGGTCCTCAGAAGCAAGCGATTCGTCAAAGTAACCAAGGTAACGAAGGCAAAAAATCATGTTACTTTTGCGGTAATCCTTTCAGTCTAGACCACACAAAGTCTTGTCCAGCTCGGGAAATTACGTGATACCTCTGTAAAAAAAGTGGGCATTTCGCGAAGTGTTGTAACTCGTCAAAGCGGAGGGTGAACTTGGTTCAGGAAGAAGAGGCAACGCCCAGCCCCTCAGTAGATTGTAACTTCATAGATGTTGACTATGATTGCGATTCGGACAACCGGAGTATGGCGTCTTCCAAGTAGAAGATGTAGTGATAATCAACAGCATTGATGTACTCAAATCAGCTGGAGGTAAACCCAGGAGCCTCAGCATTCAATTCCGGTCAGGCCCTAGTTTTTTTAATTCGACAGTTGATACCGGAAACCCGGTCTAGTTTCTCAACAAACGTTCTTTCAACCCTTTATTGCAACGAAGTCCGTCCATTGACTTTCGGGATGTTGCGAGGCACCCAAAGAAAACCACTTATGTGGACTATAATAAACGTCCAATTCGTTTATTGGGCTCGATCAAGGTTCCTATCTCTTCTAATTGTTAGAAGGTTGAAGATGCTACTTTTCTCATTTCTGAAAACCAAACACGCAATCTGCTGGGTCTGGACCTTCATGAGAAGTTGGGGGTGGTGACTACCCAATTGCGGGCTGAACTCATTCATCTTGAAAAAACGTCGCATGATCCAATATCGGAGTACTGGAAAACGTATTTTTTAAAACGGTACGCTCATGTATTTAATCGTCTGGGTAGATCGAAGAACCACAAAGTTTGTACTAACTTCAAAGTTTCTCTTATTCCTCGGCAAGTAAAAGGTCGTAAAGTTCCGATACACATTCAGGAGAGAGTCGCGGGTGAAATCAAGACTTTAGTGGAGAATGGTCACATTTAGAAACTGGATAAGTGTACGACTGATCATTTTTTTGCACACATTGTGTTGACTGCTAAGAAGGATACATGCTTCAATTGAACTCGCTCTTAAGGCCAAACCGATGAATGCACAAATCTAGAAAAATAACTACCAGATGCCGAATATGCACGAACTTAATGATTCTGTGGCTCAAGTCATTACCAAAGATGTTCCTGGGGAAGTTTGGTTCACCTGATTGGACTTGAAGTACGCTTTTAGTCAGTTGCCTTTGTCGTCAGTTACTAGTAGTCATTGCAACTTTAACATTTTGTGTGGCAAAGCAACGGGGACGTACAGATTTAAAACTGGATTTTACGGCTTAACCGATATGCCAACCGAGTTCCGGAAGGCAATGGACTGTACCTTACATGGCTTAGGGTGTCATTTGTTATATGGGCGACATCCTGGTGGTCACGAAAGGAGATGTTGAAGGCCACAATGTGCTTGTAGAGGCGGTGATGAAAAGACTCGACACTGAGGCTGGGCTCTGAAATTCAGTAAGTGTGAGTTTTCGGTTAATCAGTTAACTTGGTTGGGTTACGAAATCAATGAGGAAGCTTACTCTCCTAAATTTTCGAAAATTGAAGCAATTCAATCACTCAAGCCTCCGAAATCGTTAAAGCAGTTACGTTCGTTTATGGGTACACTGAATCATTTGCAACGGTTTGTCCCTGATCTACACATCCACACAGTGCATTTTCGGCCATCGCTAAAATCTTGTAATAGCCAGTCCTTCATGTGGGGGGAGGAACAAGAATTTGCATTTAAGAATATCATTAATCTGATTGCTAAAATTCCCAGTCTCTTTCATTATAACTCTTCTTAAGAAATCCCGAATTAAATGCGATGCTAGTCGTAATGGATTAGGCGCTGGCCTCGAGCAAGAAATCGAACCTGATGTTTGGGCACCATTTGTTTTCGCTTCACGGTTCCTTAATAATGCAGAAGGGAAGTACAGTACAAATGAATTAGAACTGTTGGCAATCGTTTGGGCCTGCGAGCATTTTCGAACATACTTATTAGGAAATCGTTCGAAAACCAAATACTAGCTGACCATAAAGCTATAATCTGCACTTCAAATGAAAACTATAATAACAAGTCATATCAGTCTTGTCTGTCTAGATGGGCTGATAGGTTGTTACCTTTCGATTTTAAAGTCATACATGTTCCTGGGGTTTTGTTAGGCATTGTCGATTACTTGTCATGTTATTCTACTTTTCCTGCTCCTCAACCTTCTCAATACGATGAACTTTTTGTAGTTAAATCTATTGAGGCTTTTAATAAAGCTGTAAATTTTATCAATTCCGCTGGTTTATCAGAGCGGAGGGTTAGATCTCGACCTCAAGAGGGCGTCGCATCTGTAATGAGGGATTGCTACATTCCGCCAGTTTATCGTCATTTTCCGGTAGGGGGCGTTGATAAAATTACTCAGCGGCTTAACCAATCAAATCGCCTTATGCAAATTTGCCAATCTAATTCCTCATCGATAGAGGGCGATGAGTTATGCTCTGTTCGAGCTGACCATTCAAATACCAGTATGCTAATTAAAACTCGAAATCACGAAACTCTCGCTCAAGAGCATTGTCTCAGACCTGAAACTTCACAAAACAGTTCTCAATTCATGCTATCTCTACAAATTTCAAAAAATTTAAGTCATATCTTTTTATGATGAATTAAACGCAACCGCCTGTTAACGATATGAATGATTCTAATAATATTCTTTCTAATGTCTCTAATCACTCAAATACTATACTCAATTCGACGGCCGAACAGACAGATTTGTTAACTTTTGTGGAAAATTTTCCCATCAATTCACCTCTCGTCCGAAAACTTCTCTCGTCCAAGCCCTCGCCCCCGCTACAATCTCGCCAGATAGGTAGGGTGTCCGGAATTGATCAGATTCGCCAGCACAACAGTACAAGAGAGCGGGGCGCTAGAACCCGGTTGGTTGCTGCACGGATCAACTCTCGAAAGGAAGTGCATGCTCAGTTGTTGGAAGCGATGCGGAGGTGCCGTTTGTCCAAACCAGGGAGGTTACAAGCAGCCTCTAAGCTTGGAGTCTTCGCCGTCAACGGAGGTAAACCGGTGCTCTCTATATCTAAAAAGGACATAGTGGGCTTACCGGACCTCTTTAATGCGGATCTTCTGGCGGAGTTAACAGAGGAAGATAGGTTTCTTGGTCCTATGAAGCGTGCCATTATAAACAAAGATGCTACTACATTTAACAAAATAGGACCATACATGGCCCAGTTCTGGACTAAAGCTGCGGTGGTCAACGAATGTGTGATACTAGGCAACGAACTCGCAATCCCGGAGCCCTTGAGGAAGGATGTTCTTGCCAGGCTGCATCGCTCTCAACTGGGCCAGGAGGCGATGATATAGGCCTCGGAATACATTTGGTGGCCATTTCTAAATCGACAAATTGTTGATACCTGCAAGAAGTGCCGCGATTGCCCGTTGTTTGGTAAAAAATTTTAACCTACGAAGACATTTAACACGGCGCACTCTCTTCCTAAGTTGTCGGGTTCTAATCAACAACTTCAGTTAGATTTTGCTGGTCCTATCTTGGATGAAAAGGGCAATAAGATCTTTCATCTAGTTGCTATTGACCGCTTTTCTAAGTTTCCTTCTGTTCTTATCACGGAAACAACGGGAGCCAAAAAAGTCGTTAAATTCCTTGATTCTTATATAGGTATCCGTGGCTTGCCGCAATCGAATAGGATTGATCATGGGTCTAGGTTTAAGAATGATTTAGTGAAACATAATTGTGCTAGAAGAGGCATCGTTCATATTTTCTCCCCAGTTGGAGATCATCGAGGTAGTGGTTTGGTTGAGCGTTCGATACAAACGATTAAACGTAAATTGGGTACAGGAAAACTTGATGCTAGTTTTAATAACTTGAAATCAACGGTTCAACAAATTGTTGACGATATACGTAAAAGCAAATACGCAGTGCTTAAAAAAATTGCCTTTCGAGCTTCATTTTGAAGAAAACCGAACACTGAGTGGTCTCAAGCGTTTTATAATGTTATTTAACATGCTACTTGAGCTCAAGGACTTGAACGTAACCTCCTAACGTAGGATGAGATTGCCAGTCAAGATTACAGCAGGGATTGTGCCAAAGTGGTTCCGAGAGGCAGCGCTAGTCCTACTATTACTCCCCGCTTCAAGCCGATGTTCTCGTTGGATCGCAACATCACTGATAGTGAGCCCTACAAGGCTTAAGCGGATCTTGCGCGGGCAGCCAATACGTGGTCCCTGTGTAAAAGAAACTTTCAAGCTGAAAGCGGCAAGCTGGTACTCAAGGAGTTGTCTAGTCGGCCTCACCCGAAATACTTTGAGATTTTATGAACATGTGACCAGCCCGACGCCCCCGGCACTTCCTAATAGTCAACGGAAAAATCCCACTCAGCAGGCTCGTCGTCCTACCAAAACAATTAAATTGGAAAAACTTCTTTTGAATGATCCTAAGCGGGTTAAATTCTTTAGAAAAATCATTGTTAGACAATCGGGAAAACTTTTATTTAAAACCGCGAAGTTCAAGATTACTCATAACGGATCATACCTACGTCACTGATAAAGGGAAATCTATCGGAAAAATCATATTTGCCTTAAGCCAAACTGTCGTAATGACATTTCAGTTGGCCAAAACACATGAGGTGATCGTCTACCTGCCTCGACATCTGCTAGTGTTGTCAAGAGGGCTGCTCCCAGGTCCCAACCGATGATGATAGAACAACGGCCAAATAACCCGATCTTGTCTGACCCGATAGTGGTCGACCTGACTGTGGGTTCTTCTAGTGAAGGTTCTTCTGGGTCTAGCAACCCTCAGGTGGTTCGAGAATCTACTCCTGTCACAGAGCGAGCTTAGACTTCTTCGGATTCGCCGCCGGTCAAATTTTTCAAGCCTTCGGCATCACTTACTCAGCTGCATAGCACAACGTTACCACCTACTACGACAGTCCCTACTACTACTTCGGCGCCCAGTTCATCAGAGGCCCAACTAACTAGCTCTTGCGCGCAGGACACCGTAAAAGTGTCTTCAACGTCATTTCTACTAAGAGAGGCTCAAATGCGAACCACTCTGGATGATGGTTCTGAATTACGAAACTCATACCCTTCGTTATCCCTTCCTGCCCAACCAGTCACGGGAGATTCGGAGGCGACTCGTTCCTCCTCGCGCACCCAAAAACCCACCCGTTTCTTCGGCGATCCATTGCGCCACTCGGTAAAACTTGAGGAGGACCATCTTGGTCAATTGAAGGATCAGGGTTCAGTAACACCGGTTGTTTCGTCTCCATGTAAGCAACTTATTAGGGATCGTCCTCATATTACTGTACCGGATGTGCCTTCTCATTCCTTCGCGGATATTAAGAAAACTATCTATTGATTGACTACAAACGTCCATAAAACTTTCGAAAACTTCCATAAACTCTTGCATTCAGTCCATTTTTTCGTTTTCAGAGTCACTCAGCCTTAGACTGTAATAGGCGTGCTTTTAAATTTGTGCTTATCTTTGTGTCTCTTATTTTCCTTTCCTCTAAATTTTGTCATGATATATTTTCTTACGCGGGGAATGTCACGAGGTGACCTTCGGTACCTCGTTCCTAACGTGGTATTTTTGCAGTATCTCTGCAGTTTGTGATGTTATTAACCTTTGGTCAAGGTCAGAGGAGGCATATATTGAGTGCCGCGTTGAACGTGTTTACTCTCTAGTTTATCTTCATCGATGTTAGATGTTGTCATTTTCCTTTATAGAAATCTCTGTCGAAAGACTATGTTATTCAAGTTAAATTGATTCCGTGCATCTGAATTAACTATTCCTTGTAACCAACCATCTAACTAAGAACAAATTTAGTTTTCACTTTACAACCAAGTTTTTGAGTTCGTATTTCTCGGCAAATGTCAGACCCCGAACCACCCTTGCGCCCTGACTTGTTATATGTTGTTGTTTTCTTTGAGGTAGTCAAAATTGGCTAAAAAAACAGACCCTGCGCCATAGTTTTTTCCAGTTACTTTCTCTAACATGGTCCGAATAATCTGATTCTATGTGGCTGCTAACTTTTTTATTTGAATTTTCGAAATTCCGCTCTTAGGTTTTTTTAAATAAAGTTCTTTGTAATTTCTATCGTAATTGTGTTTGAAATGAAGTCCATCAAATGCAATGGGTTTTTAGGAACTGCTGGACAAGAGAAAAGCTTTGTCGAAGTCATTCAGGGACATAATGGACAAACTCAGGGACAAACTGGAGTCAGTGAAGAAGTTGATGGAGGCGGAAAAGACATTCGAAGACATAGACGGAAACGAACAGCCTGAATTAGACGAAGAGGTCGTGCATTACGTAGTCAGCCAGCAAGTGATCGTGTGTGACGATACTTCTAATAGTACAGGTAAGCATAGTGGACAGTCGGCCGATTCCACCACCAACAAACTCACCAACGGAACATCCTCATCTGCTGCAGTCGCCGTAGCGGATTAGTCGACTCCCTGCTTTTGAGATTTGACCATTGTAACTATAAAAAACATCTCGACAAAACACCACCAAGAACAACAAATATTAATACAAGGCGAAGAAAAGATCAAAACGACTGAGAAAAAAGACTTGCTAACTAAATAAACTGTATTTGGTATAATTAAATATTATAAGCCTGCTTCTGACATACTTTTTAAATGATCATTATGTGTTAGTTTGGGCTGTTTTTGTGTTTCTCTTTGCTTGCTAAATTATGGGACTATCTTTTAGTAAAGAACAACCCCATTTCACGATTCTATTGATGATTATAAAGCGAACATTTTTTCAAAGGCTCTTCAATAACAAGAGTAGATTGTGTTGCAACACGGAACTTTCGAATTGCTACATTGCAATTAACGATGCTTTGCTGTTTGTGCATTTCTCTATGCATTTTCCAGTACCCTACAGGGACCTACCAAAGTTGTTTGGGTAATCACACATGCTTGCACAATGAATTGAATCAAGTTTTGAATCTTTGCTGTTCGGAGGGGCTAGTCTGATCTATTTTGAAATGCTGTTTACTTGAACTAATAATAATAATATTTGACTACTTTTCATACTCTTTTTCAAAATGTCGTCGCTACAATAAGTTACAATTAAACACTTGTAAATTTTTACAGTGTGAGAACTATTATTCCAGATATTATCGAGTTTGGCATGGAATGTTTCACTCAAATGAATTCATGGAATTGAATAATAATTTTCACATTTGACTGGAAACCTAACTTAAACGTTGAATGCTGTTTTTGGAGTCATATTTTAGTCAATCATTGTTGGTAAATTTTTAAGTTTAATCTAATTAATTTGCCTTCGCATTCTTGTGAGCATTGGCATTGAGGCTCTTTGAGTTGTTTTTCCAATTCATGCTGACAAGTCAGTGACTCTGCTATGCTTATTGACAAATTTGGTATCGCCTGTTTAACATACAATCTTGTACAATAGCTATTTACTGCAGCTATTCACTGATGTTGAATTCGAACCAGATTTGTTTTACTTTTTTAGCCAACTTGACTTTTGTCAGTGTACAAAAGCAGCTTGATACGAAGGCACACTATATCAAAGAAGTCTTACACTATACCAAGAAAATCTTGTTTTTTTTTAGAATTATGGTGCAAAATCTGAGATTGAGGGCTCCCCTTCATAAGTGCATAAGCAATTTTTTCCAATTTTGATAAGGAACACACTATGGACTTACAAATTATTTGACCTTTTGACAGATTTTTGGACTGTTCAAATTCCCAAAAACGACTGTGCCAAATCTGAAAAAACAATCAAAATGAGATGTTTCAATCTTCTCTCTCAAAGCGTGTTTTCACGAATAAAAATTAACTATAGACAAGATAAACGTGCAGATTTTTTCCATCAGTACATTCTTGATTTTATCAAACAGGTACCTCCTGTATTAGCTGCCCCCTAGTGTTTAACTATTGTTAGGCGGCTATGGCGCAGATAATAGGACGTTTTACTTTGAAGCTCGTTGAGGAGGTTTCAATTCCGACATTCAATTGCCAGATCACGTGCCTTATTATCGGGAACTAGATTTTTTCCCGTAAACAACCTTTCTTGAAAATCTTGCTTGCTTTTCTTAATTGCTTTTTTCTTAAATCTTAAACATTTCTATGTTCGTTCCCTTTTAGTCCCGAGGTAGCGCCGTCGCCTTTGCACCCAAAAATCAAGAATTTGAAGCCCGGTCGGGCCTTGTTTTTGTTTCAATTGTAAAATTTTTCGCAGTAAAAATTGGTGTCGACTTTCGTTTGTCTGCTCAATTATTATCGACTTAGATGCCGCATCAGAGGTTTTGTTAGTGCTGTAAGCAATTTTCCTTATAGTTGCAAGAGCAAGTGTTGTTCTAAAAAGTTTTTCATGAAATTAGTTTTGTTTCGGCTCAGTTTTGTTTCGGCTCAAAAAATTTTTTCTGCTGTTTTTTCCGGCTACTTTTGTTTCGGCTCAATTTTTCCGGCTAACAAGGTCTACTCACAAGTTGTCAAAATTGTTGTCTTTTTACAAAATTTTCCTGTGCTGTGAGCGAATTTGTTGTGATTGCAAGTGCAGGTGTTGTTCATTGGGGTTTCAAGAGTTACTTAAAAATTGAACGAATTTTTTTATAAATTATTATTTTTTCGACTCAACTTGAGTCTTCTCAAAAATTTTTGGCTCTGTTTCCTCTTCGTAAGTTTTTTTTTCATTGCTAGTCTAATATTCAAATGTCAGAATTATTTGACTGGAAAAATTTTTACCGAGTCATACGGAATTTTAAATTTTGTTTGAACTTTGTCTTTTGTGTGCTTATGTTTTAATATTTGTGTTGCATGGCAGGTGATGCCGAGCTCGTCTTGGCTTCTGTGTGCAAATTTGTTTCAAATTTAAAATAATGCTACCGGTTTGAAATGGTTTTCACAAAAGTTTTTTAGGAAAAATAGTTTCTGATGCTCGGTTATCTCTTGTAGCTCTTTTATCTCTCAAAGCAAGTCAAAATCAGCAGTTGAGCAGAATCTGTAAACGAATTGCGACTGCACTTTTTATGATAGAACTGCTTTGATGTTTTTTTTGCTGAAGTTTGCGTAGTCCATGAAATATTTTTCTGAAGTTTCAGTTACTTTCGTTGTGGTAACTGCTATCTACTGGTTTCTGTAAAAATAAAACAAATTTGATCTGTGAATTGTTTACAGAGTAACTGATGGAATGGTTCAAAGATTTTTGTTTTTAATTTTAACCAAAAATTGATTTACAGTTTTTGCGCGTAGCTTCTTGTCAAGCTTGCGTCTAGCAAGGGTATTCTAAATCATATCATGTTCTTGTTTATTCCTGTAAAAAACTACCAGCAGAATTTGCCCTTGACATGCTTAGGCTGATGAATATTCAAATTTCATTAGCAATTGTGGTTTATGCTGACCTGAATTGCGGACATGCTAATTTTCAAGAATTTTTTTACCAGTTGTTTTTGAAGCTTGCGGTTAGTCAAATTTTTTCCTATAGAAAATTGATTTGATTTAGTTGGTCTTGTTTTCTGCAGTTTTGTTTTTGTGAATTTATAGTGTGTCGTTTGAAAACGAAAACAGTAATTTTTTCTGTGTAGAGAGGTGGTATGGAACATTTCGTAATTCTAGAGTAACTGCTATCTACCGGTTTCTGTAAAAGTAAAACAATTAATTCAGTAAATTGTTTACAGAGTAACTGATGAATTGGTTCAAAATTTTTTGTTTATAATTTTAACCAAAGATTGATTTCAGTTTTTGCGCGTAGCTTCTTGTCAAACTTGCGTCTAGCAAGGGTATTGTAAACCGGTTCGTGTTCTTGTTTGTTCCTGTAAAATTCTTTGCCACTGTGGCATGCCCAGGTTGATGATTATTCAAACTTCATTAAAAATTGTGGTTTATGCTGACCTGCATTGCGGACACGCCAATTTTCATGAATTTTTTTACCATTTGTTATTGACGCTTGCGGTTATTTAAATGTTTTTTCTTCGAAGAGAAAATCGATTTTATTGAATTGGTCTCAGATTCTGCAGTTGTGTATCAGTGAATTTATAGTGTGTCGTTTGAAGTGGAAAATACATTGTAATTTTTTGTGTTTGTATGTACAATCAGCCTGAAAATAAAGTTGTTAGAATTATGATTATTATAAAGTTAAATGGATAAAAAAGTACAACAAGCATAAATATTCTGCACTTTTTCGAAAGTCGGAACAAAAATCCAACGTCGGCGGAAGAAAATTTTTGTTGTTCCGACTTTTTAAGAAAACAGAATATTTATGCAAAGAGTTTTTATTTATTCAGTTGTCATTTTTCACCAAAAGAAATAATAGTTTGTAACAAAAACTTTTAATCCTCATTGAAAATATAAACTTCTTAATATCAAATAGAAAAAATATTTATTTTTACTTCCCAATTAATTTCGTAAAAACATGAGAGTTTGAGAGTTTTGCCATGCTCTGGATTATTTCATGCTCGTTTTGACGATTTCATTCATAATGCTGAAAGCGTAGCTCTAGTTATTTATTCGGGACGAATTATCCTTCACATTAAAATCGTTGCAACTTGTGTTGAGAGAAGCTAGTTGGTCGTTTTGTTTTCACACTGTGATACTGTTCAAAATTAAAAGTTTTTTAAAATTTTCGTTTCCCAAAAACTGTTTGATATGAATTAAGCGGCAATCGGAGCATTTAAGGCTTTGCCCTGATATACGAGCAATCTTGCCCTTAATTTTTAATTTAATGTACAAAATCAAAAAGCGCCAGCTAAAAGAAGAATGTTGTAATTTGTTTTTTTTTGTACTTTTTTGTGGGAAACAAGCGGAATTTCAATCTGCTATTTGAATTTCAATCAGCCTGTACCTAAATTTCAATTGAAGTTCAATTTAAAAAGACTGCTCGTATCAGGGCAAAGCCCTGAATGTTCCGACTGCCTTTTAAGGTTTATGGAGCAGCAGTAATAGCATAAAAAAATTAAATGAAATAAAACAAAATGAAATTTTTTTTTTCTAAAATTTGAAATTGTTTATGAAAATCATCAACCCACACGCCATAGAAAATACAAAATGAGAGAGTTCGTTCCTTTTAACAAGTCAATTATGGCAAATAAGCTTCGGTCACCCAATTTGGAACGATTTATAAGACGGATTAAATCTCCGCTTACGCGTTAATAGCGCGAATTATATCGCGCGTTAATTGTCCCAAATTGGTCAAAATGGCCAAAATGGCAATCTTTAAACCCTCATAACTCTACGAAAAATGATCACAGGTGAAATTTTTTTCAAATTTAAGCTCAGGACAACAATATCTTTTGAATGATATAAAAAAATTTCGTCAAAAATGGCTAGTTAAAAAGTCGAAATTTGTCTGAAGAAAAAAAAACTCACCCCGAGCACAAATATTCAGTTACTTTCGTATCGAAAGTCGGAACAATAACAGAAAAGCGTTTGCAATTTGTTTTAAGGCAACTTCCAGGCCAACAAAACTACTTTAATTCTCAACAGATTTTGTGAAATCGTTTTGGTGGCCAAAATATACTGCAACGAAAATGAGCTGAAAATATGTGAAAAGTTAGTATCTTTTTTTTGACTAGTGGTTTCAAAATATGCCATTATAGGACTAGTGGTTCAAATGCCATTATTTAATTAAATTAAAAACTTAATGACTTTGTTAATGTTTTTAGTTAGAGCTAGGATATTAATACAGACTTGGGGGGATCAATTGAGCAATCTCCCCCCATTCTCGCGTGGGTGGAGATAGCTCAATAGGTACTTGAGACATGTTTATAACCACTTGAAAATATTTTTAAACGAGAAAAAAAATTACAAAAGAGGTTCTCCAACAAATTTTGAACGCCACTATTTACTATATGAAAGCTCAAATATTACATTCAGAAGGAAAAAAAATAAACAATAAAACTGAGGCACATAAAGCTACTCTTTCTGGTCTAAAAGGAAATAAGCTATTGCGTACAAAATTAAGGTGCTGAGGAGAACAGTTTTTGGTATTCAGATACAAGGCTAGTACACTAAACCTGATAGCTCGTTTTTCTCAATGAGAAGGAATGGTCGCCCAAACTAAAATTTGCATTTTTTTTTCAAATTTCGATGTTTTCTTTTTCAATTTTTTCTCGATACTTATATAAAGTGAACTTCAGTCGGCGAATTTTTTGCGTGATATGAACACATCAACCATCTACTTGCGTTTGTTGACTTCTTTTTGTAGCGTCTAAGTATTTGCTTGGGGGGGGGGGGGGGGGGGGGGTAGGAGATAGCTCAATTGGTCATTACGGGCGAAGGGGGAGATTGCTCAATTGGTCATTACGGGGGGAGGGGAGGTTGCTCAGTTGATCCGACTTGGGTTGATCAAAAGTTTGTAAATCAAAACTAGGAGGGCATTCTATATCGAGCACAAATGTATTTTCAGCTTATTCTTCCATGCTTGTAGAAAATAATAGTTTGAACAAAAGCGGAGAATCAAAATATTAGCCTGCATCTTTTCAATAAACCACAGATTTTAGACAGAGTTGACTACTCTACTCTTATCTAACCTTTACTATTCTTTTAATTTTACAAATAATTTTTTTTTCAAAAACGAATTGCAGTTCTAAGGTTGCCGAGCTGAATAAAAACTTAAACAGTTGATCCATTTAGATTAACCATACATTCTCCCCTTCCCCCAAGTGACGAACCAGAGAATTTGCCCCTAGCCAGGTAATAATTTTGAAAGATAATTCTGTATAATGTATGCACACAAACGCGCACATGAAAATTGGGTGTCACAGTTTTTATGTGAGATTGCACTTGAATGATGTTAATAACCTGAGCTAACGTATTTTTAATCAATTTTCTCTATTTAAACTTAGTTTTCTAGAAATCTAAGGTATACTCCAAGCTATTTCCTGAAAAATCCATAATTTCTCCGCCCTAAAATTACGCGTAAGCGAAGATTTAATCCGTCTTAGAAATCTTTCCAAAGTGGTTGAAGGAAGCTTATTTATTATAAATGATTTGTTACTAGGAGTGACATCTACCACTTGGTACTTTATATGGCGTGTGGGGGGATTATTTTCCCAAAAAATTCTCAAATTGTAAAAAAAAAATCATTTTATTTTTTTTACATTTAGAACAGCGAGCAGTCTTGTTTCCTTTGACGCTCTGAGATTGATGAAAATTTCTATGATAATAAAAATTAATTTATTTCATTTAATTAATTTAGTAATGAATAAATGCAAACTGCTTTTTACAAAATTCGAAAATTGATTTAGAAATTAGCATATTCATCAAAATTTGGACAATTTCTTTTAAAAATGCAACTAAAATTAGAGTTTCAATTTCGAGATATTTCGGGTATCATCTTTTTGTTAAGGAACATATCAATTGGGTGAGTAAGGTCTCGAAAGTGATTTGAAGTCGTTGTTGACTGAATAAGGGTGCGAGGCTCCTGTGCTTGTTGAGGCGAACGAGTCACGTGTCATGGCGATAGCTCCAGTGCTTGCCACACTGCGTCTGTCCTGAGATCCTTCCCTGGAACTGGCTCGAGAAGAGCCTCTCGAACCACTTCTACGTATGAGTCTGGAAGCTTTGCTCCACGAGTTCTGAAAAGACGAGTTCAGTTTAATTACTGAAAGGGACAATGCCCATACTTGACAAATTACCCGAAAAACCAATATACAGAAAATAATCTTACTTTTCTCAATGTCAGATGAAATTTGGACCCCAGTTTTTCAATTACACCAGGTTAACGACGTTTTTGTACGTGGTTAACCAGGTGATTTTACGATGTTCTTAATGTAACTAAAAATATCGATCTCAAAAAAACTTGTAAGTTTGATCAGGGGCGGATTTAGGGAAAGGGGGGGGGGGAAGCGTACGCCCCCCCCCCTCAGGGATTCGACCTCCTGCCAAACCAAAGGGTCCCCCCTTTGGTACTTTTTAAGAAATCCATTTTTGACCGATCGACCCTAAAATTTTTCTAAAGGCGCCTTTGGTGCCAATATATACTAATTTTGAGGAGGGAGCGCGTGCCAAAAAAACGCGATTTTTTTGTCAAAATTTTCCAAAAACTGCCTAAAAACGCCTTTTTTGGACTGTTTTTTCAAAATTTTGCCTGCGGCGCAGAACATTTGGCCAAATAAGGGTCGAAAAAAAGGTCGACGAAATTTCCAAAATTTTTTTGAAAATCCGCCCCTCCCCCCTCGAGAAAATCCTAGATCCGCCCCTGAGTTTGATGGGGTTTTACTAAACATATATGTTAGCTACATTCAAAACGGATCTTACGCTGAGGCTTCTCTTGACTGAGTTGTGTTGCTGCTGCTGCTGTTCCTGCAGAATTCTCTGTCCCTCTGTATTGGAGATGGTGTTGCTCTGTCTGCTCAACTTCTTTTTCCTACTGTTCTCCTTTTTGGCCTGTTTAATCTGCCTCCTAGAAACAACACACAAACTTGCCACTTCTCTATAAATACGGTTCTCACAACAATAAATTGTCTCGACAACTGCACTATCTCAGTTTAAACCCTTTGTAAAATATCACCTATAATAACAATTGTTGAAAGCTCTAAGAAGTATTAGAAAACAAACAGAAAGTCAGTAGTGTATTTTGTTAACTTTTATCAAATAAACTCAATGTGTTGGTATGTTTTCGTAACGTCTGTGAAAAGAGTTCGAGACTTTTCATGAACCCTCCTAATTTCTTTAACCACCGTGGCCTGAAAGTCTATTTGTCGCCAGTGACTTTACGTGGAATTATTAGAATGCTGTTCTTACCTAGTTTCCTCGACTAGCACATCGTAGTTTTCCCTGAGATGTCTGAAAGTGGGATCTTCGTTGTCGTATCTCAACTCTAGGACGATGGCCAGCTCCTTGGCAGAAAAGGCAGAGTAGGCGATGAAACAGCCATTGATTCCCGTGTTCTTCAGCTTGTTCACCGTTGCATCCTGTCAAATTAATACAGGTTCAAAAAGTTGAGATATTTGCAGCCTTACAAGTCAGCAGGCGCGGATCCAGGAATTTCTCGAATTTGACGAAATCTTCTGCGCCGAAGGCAAGTTTTTGAAAAAAAAAAACCGTCCAAAAAAAGGCATTTTAAGGCACTTTTTGGAAAATTTCGACCAAAAACTTGCGTTTTTTCGGCGCACGCTCCCGGACCCCTCAAAATTAGGATAGATTGGCGCCGAAGGCGCCTTTAGAACAATTTTAAGGTCTGTCAGCCAAAAAAAGCTATCTCAAAATAGTACAAAGGGGGGCCCTTTTGGGTCGTTGGGGGGTCAAATTCCTGAAGAAGAGGCGTCCACTCCCCACTCCTAAATCCGCTACTGCAAATCAGTATTGAAAAGTTCGCCAAAACCTTCCGAAATTTTTTTAATGATGGTTTTATTGCTGCTCAACCAGCTTATTTAGCTTATATTTTTTAAACAATCACAGATGCATGAAAAGAATAGAAAATTGACATTGAAAACCAACGAACTGCGCTCAAAATAACCAAACATTGAAAACCAACGCACTAGTTAAAAATAGATTTAAAGTCATTTTTATTTTTACGTTTTCTAATCAATTAACGGTTTTTTAGCTAATTTAATTTTATATTAAGTAAATCATATCAGCTCAATGTGAACGAAATTAGTAGGTGAACGAAATTTTTGAATAAAACTAGTAGGTGAACGAAATTTTTGAATAGGGCTAATAAAGTTAACAAGTAGTTGTTTTCTCTTGTTAGAATCGAGGGTGAATTTCCACCTATGGCTACCGAATAAAATAAGATAAGGTCAGTGCTTACATCGAAGTCGATGGACTTGAGCCAATTCATGAATGTCTCGCTGCTCCACACCAGCAAATCTCCAACAGTCTCTCTCTCCCTCCCCTTCTGGCTATCAGGGTGCAGTCTCCTCTCATTGGCCAGACTCTGCAACTTCGCCTGGGGCTTCATCTTCCTGCGCTTGAAGTCCTGCAAACAGTTAGATGAACATGATCACGTGAGCTGGGCAAAGAACAGTTATAGTTCAACTCATGCTAGAAAATGTAGTTGCTTTAATGCACCTTATTCATGTGATATGGATGAGCTTGATATATGATAAAAGAATCCTCGATATTAAAATACCGAGCTCTGTGTAGATAGCTGTTTTAGTCTCTATAAATATGTATGTATCGTTTCAATTAGACTCACCGTTTGCATGAAATCCAATTCTCTCAGCATTCTTATTCCCAGGTGGATACTTTTGGCTGCCACTTTCGGGTTCAGAATCGCCTTAGCACACAAGTTGGCAATCTCTTTCTCGTTTAGAGTCAGCAGCAGAATCATGTCCACAAAACTAGATCGGAAATGGTCGCACAGCATATGCAAGCCCAGGTGTGTTAGGAAGTGATTGGCAACCCAAATGTGGTCCATCTTTTTCACCCCTTGATATTTGATCACATCTTGAGGCATTTCGGGATCCCTGCAGACGACTTGGATATGCACCAGAACACGTTTGATTTGGGTCTCGTCTTTTATGCCGAGGAAGTTTTTGGCCGAATTTGGGGTCAAGCCCATTAGATTCTGAAGCAAGAAACGATTAGGAAATCGCTCGATATTTTTTAAAAAAATTTAGCTTACATGAATAAGTTTTCCTTACTTTTCCTGATTTGATTTGCTGCGCGGCTTGAGTGGAGAAGCTCTCTGACATTTTCAAGTGTAGTTTGAAAAATATTTCGACCAAGTGAGCGTTCCATTCGGTAACAGGTGTCGTGTACAGCATTTGTAATTCACCCTGTGTTTCGGCCGATTCTACTGGGAGTTCTGAAAACAAAATTATTTCATTATTGTTTATTTCTCGGTCCATAATTTTCAGAATTATTTTAATTATTTGCGCAAAAAAGGAAAGAAGGAAGGTACTCAGACACAGAGGAAATTAATTGAATTGTGTTAGAATTTTTGTTCAGATCAGAAAATTAGAAATGAAATCGACTGCTTCAAATTTGAATCAGGAATAAGTAAAAGAACAGAATAAACTGAAAATAAGATTTAGATGAATCAATTCGCACCTTCATAATACCCGCTAGTCAATCCTAGTGAAGACTTGCTGCTCGAGTGCTGACTGCCGCCCTGGCTATACTTGCCCGCAGTTCTCTGGCTGTGGTAGAGTTTATTCTGGATCGACATTTTAGTCAATGATTGGCTGGTACTTTTGTTCTTCTGGTAATACCTCATGCCTTGGTTTTGTCTAATACCGTCTTCCAAGACAGATTTTTTTGCTCGCTTTTCCAGCGTATTTAAATCTTCAGCCGATGCTGATTTGTGAGTGGCTGAGAATTGTACAATTTGGTTCAATTGGGGTTCTAGATTACGATTGGCACGAGGCGGGTGGGCGATGGAGCTCCGTTGCTTTTTCAACTCGGACTCAAGTTGAGAAGATGATAGATGGTTAGCAGAAGACACAGGGCCAGTAAGGTCACCTAAGCACAAACAGACAGGTCAGGTAAAGGTCAAGGAGTGTCAATTGGGTTCAAAGCAAGCCAGTTTTTGATAACTACATGATTTAACGTGATTATAATTGAAACAGCTTTATTGCAGCGGATTCAATTATTTTCACATTTACGAAGGTCTTTTTGTGCGCGCCTGGTAATTTTCCACTAAATAACTTCTCTGACAAAAATGTATCTATTGCTTAAGTTGCTATAAAAAGCTGGTGGCTCAGAGAAAAGAAGTTAGAGAAATGAGACTATAAATGAAACCATCAGTTAGTAGTCATAACCACATGCAAGATGCAATTAAGCCATGTTGTTGTTTGTTTGTTTATCTGTACCTGAGACACTGCTCATGAGACTTTTGCAGTCTTCTGGTTCGGGATTTGAACCGTTGGAAGATCCGATTTTGAATCTTTTCATTACTGCAACAAATTTTTCTCATCATTTTTTTTTCGTTCAGATATAAACTATAATCGAATGATAAATCAGGCTATCAGAAGTGATTTTCATCCAACAAGCTCAAATTTTGAAAATTATGAATCTTTTATCCAAATTTTGACATCTAAAAACGATGAACATCTTTTATGACGCTTATGATTTCAGCGATTTCATCAAAAGTGGAGGATTTTTTCCATCTTACCTGAAATTTTCCTTTTAGATTTTAAATCTGTTCAGATAATGTTTTTTTTGCATTACATCATAAATAGGAAAACATAACTGTAAAATCAATCAATGGGAAAATATTAAGTGCTATCTAGAATATTCTAGAATATCTAGAATAAAGTGCTATCTAGAAAAAATATATTTTAACTTTACCTGCACCACCACTGCTTCCACTTTTGTCTGAGTTGCCGGCAGAGCTACCCGCAGATTTGTGGAAAGCACCTTTTGGAGATGAACTGCCCATGAATCCCCCCAAATTAGCACCTGGATTAGTCTCACCCATCGGAAACTGCTGAGGGTTTGGGTTCAGATCCGAGTTGTCTAGTTGAGCACCACAGCGGCAGTTCTGCTCGAATTGGGAAATTAGATTAGCCCGACTCTGCAGTTCCTGCTTGAGTCTTTGAAGGTCACTGTTCGCCCTCTCTAGGTCCCGCCGGAGATCTCGGTTCTCTTGCTTCAGAGATTCGTTGTCTCCAGAGAGCTACAAAAAGCCATTGGATGGTCAATTCTTGGCATGTGTTTAATTTGACAACAAAACTGTCGAACGTGGCATTTTCGCATGTTGGAGTTGACAAAAATGCCTAACTTCAGTTGGCAAAACTGACTATTGGCATGTCAGAGCAGAACAAAAAACTTAAAAATGCGAAATCAGATCAAGATTTTGACGCCAAAAAAAGCAAATTAATGTGGAATCCCATTTTCTTAGTAGTTCAAAAAAAGTTGCCAAGATCAAGCTTGTAAAAACGCTGTCAAAACACAAGAAAATTTTGCATACAAAATGTACACATACATTGTGGTTTTGACTTCTGAGTTCTTCTATTCTTTTCTTCTCGTTGTCCAACTCCGATGCCAGTTGGTCGCAGAAGTCCTGAGTTTTGGCATGGTTCGACCGGTAGCTGTTCAGCTCATTATTTAGAGCGTCGATTGTCTTAACTAACTTCTCCTGTTCTGTTTTAGCGTACCGGAGTTTTTCAGTCGCGGCAAACAGATCTGAACAAACAGTTTTCGCATATAAAATAAAATAATTTTAGTGTATTTCACCTGTAGAATGTGGTCGACTGGTGTATCATATTCAACTCCTGTGTTGTGATTTGTAAAAAAGTTTTTGAGGCATCGAAAAAACCGGTTTGAACTGTTTACCTTTTTGACGAATTAGAGCGAAGAGTTAGTTAAATAATTGAGTCGCTCTTAAGTAACACGAAGTTCACTTTCCTAATATTCGAGTGCTTAAATTTTGCTATATACCTTAATTAAATTGGCTTATAACTAATTTTAAAAGCTTCTCTTAATGTGCCTACTTCGTGCTACAAAGTAACCGTATAGTTGTTAAAGGTTTTCAGCACGCATTATCAAATCGAAATATTATAATTTTTTTTTCAACTTAGATAATTTGTCTGACATAACCACTGAAACATTTAGTCAACAGTTAGCAAATCTGTTGGCATAGTTGGCCAATAAGTATATTTTGAGCATGCCTTCAGTTATATGCCCGTTTTATTCAAAATTCGCGTTGATGTTGGCTCTAAACTACTATTTTTTTATTTTCTGTTTTTTTTTTGCTTAAAATGATAGTTCGGCTTAAAAAAAACTTAAGTCAATACGATATCGGCTAAGACGCCTCGTATTGCTTCGGTTATTTGTGGTTTTTATTCGTGTGCGCTAGATGTATGTGAAGTTTGAAGGCTTGTGGTTTTGAAGTTTTTTTTTCTAGCTCAAAATTTGTTATTACAAAGATTTTTTTATTGGCTCAACGGCTTCGGTTGAAAGGCGGAAACAATTTCATTTGTGTGTGCTAGATTTATGTGAAATTTGAAGAATTCTGTTTTGAAGATTTTATTAGCTCAAAATTTGTTTTTACACAGATTGTTTTTATCGGCTCAACGGGCTTTTGACCAATTTGCCTTGGCTTGTTTGTAGCAGGGGCGGATTTAGGGGGGGGGGGGGGAGGGGGGCGGACGCACCCCTCCCTCAGGGATTCGACCCCCTGCCGACCCAAAGGGTCCCCCCTTTGGTATTTTTTAGAAATCCATTTTCAGCCGACCGACCCTTAAATTTTTCTAAAGGCGCCTTCGGCGCCAATATATACTGATTTTGAGGGGGAGCTAATTTACTAATATACTAACTTTTTTGACTGGTTTTCACAATTTCGCTTGCGGCGCAGAAAATTTCGCCAAAACAGGGACTAAACCTGCTTAGGGAGAGCTCAAAAAATCAATTCGGTCGACCTAAAAAAAAAAGGTCAACAAAATTTTCGAAAAACCGCCCCCCCCTCTCGAGAAAATCCTAGATCCGCCCCTCGTAGATTCATAAATTTTGCTTCAGCGTTAACTCAACAGTGCTAATTTTAGAGCAGTTGTATGACAAACTGTAACAAGTTTATGAAAATTTTAATCGAGCTTTTTTCGTTTTTTTTTTCTGTATTCATTACGAAGCCAAACTGTATTTTGTGAGTTGTAATTTGGATTCCACAACAGGCACACTCTCATTGGATTTTTTCTTTCGATTTCTTTGATTGCTCCGACAAAAATTTACGTCTTTAAAGACTTGTCTCTGGATTCCTACATACACTAAATTGTGCGCCTTTCCAGTGCTGCACAGTTTAGCCTCGTAATGAGTTTTTTTTGTTTTATTTTATTTTCTTCGTTTTTTTGTTTAGTGTGTTTCACCTAATTTTTATTTCGGCATGCTTATCATGATACTTTTGTGATTTTTCGCAAGTAGTGCGAAGCTCCGCTTTTCCTTTGTGTAAAGATGTTCACATAGTAGCTTGCTTCACCTTTCGATAGAATTTCGACATCATGCCGTCAAAAAGGAATGAAATTATAGTTTTTTTTTCTTAAAACCCCTGATGACACAGTAGACTGTGCATTTAGCGACAAACAATTTTGTGCGGAAAGAAAAAATTAATAAGAAAAAAGCTAATTTTTGCAATTTTATGTAATATAAAATCATAACTTAGAAGCACCCGAGCGCAAATTGTTCAAAGCACAACTTTTCTTGGAAATTTTCAAATAAAAAACATAGCCAACTTACACTCTTGTTGAATTTTTGAGTTACAACAAAAATCTATATTACCATAAAACTATTTAAATTCCATAAATACTTCAAATTTTATCGTTTTTTATAAAAGCAGCTCAAGAGAACTGAATAATTGAAACTTGATCCAAAAGCGTGTCTATTTCGAGAAACCTGATATTGCTAGTCACACTAATTTAGTGCTAGGTTAGAGGCAGGCGCACGAGTCTAAGTTAAACTTGTTTTGATGCTGAATATGATCTCTCTCGCTACGCATAAAAATTAGCAGAAAGTTTAGCAATTGACTGAAAATTTAGAAAAAAAATTGTTTTGTTTTCTTTTTTGAACATTTTGTAGTAAGAAAATGTGTGCTACTTGCACAACTATTGATTATCATTGTTACTTATCGCGTTTACCATTTCGTAGGTTCATTTTGGACTCATTGGCGGTCGCCACTTCCTTCTGCAGAAGTTGCAGTTGGATGTCATTGGTTGCCTTCGAGTCCAACAACTGCCGCATCTGACTGTTCTCAGACTGCAACACCTTATTCTCTCCAATGAGTTGTTCAAACGCTTCATTCTGGGGGGATTTGTTCTGCAGGTTGAACGTCACCACAGGTCCCCCCTGATTAATCGATGGCTGTGAAGGGGCGGGTCTCTTGGGCGGTAGTTTTTCACTCGTGTTTAATGGACCACTTGAGTCTGAAAAGTTATCAGTTTTTACTTTTGACAATTAAATACAAATTAAGCATTTTGTTTAGAGCGTCTTAGTGGCTATACATGATTAAAAAAACCGTGTCATAGGTATAAATTTGATATTTAACTTTTGTGACTTTTGTGCCATTTATAGTCATGTACCTTTTTTGGTACTACAATTTGATTGAATACTTTCAGATTTTGTTCACTGGCACTTTTATTAATTTGATAAATTCAACGTCCAAGCGCTTTTGTTTTGTGGTTATAAATGATTGAAAATTACGAAGAGTTTTCGAATGAAGTGTTTTTATGGCTCTATTTTCTAACCACAAAATTATCGAATTCTCCTATATGTGTATAAAGATCAACGAAGGCTAAAAATAATCTCTTTCGAAGCGTATAATTTTAGTTCTGTTGTTAATGCGTTGCCATAATTCTCAGAAACAAAACTTTATTAGGCGATCAAATTAGTACCGTTTTGTCCAAATATGGTTGAAAATTAAAACTTTAATCACGCTTGATTTGCCTTTTTGTTTAATACGGTAGTGATATCGCTTTTAATTAAAAACGCCAAAGAAATAAAAAGAATACTCCGACTACCCCGGAATGTTTTTGATATAGTTTTTTCCAAAAACAGCAAAATTTCTGAAAAAGTTGTACACTTTTTTTTTATTTCTCAATTATTCCGCCAGTTTTTTACATAGTCTGAACGATAATCAAGAGATTCATTTCCTCGCAAGACATTAGCTAGAAAATACTAAGATTTTTGTACACAAAAATCAAAGAGAGCGCATAATTTAGTCCAGAAAACCCCCAGAACTTAACAAAAAACAATTGGAGTTAAAATATCTTTTTGAATTTGAACTCAGGAAGTTGATATCTTCAATGGGGTACAAGAAATTTTTGTTAAAAACTATCATTTTGATCGGCGAAAATTGACTGAATAAAAAAACCACACAGAGGACAAATATTCCGTTTTCTTCGAAAGTCGTAACAACAAGACTGCTTGTATATCAAGGCAAATCCCTGAATGTTCTCACTGCACTTAAGTCCAACTGACTAGTTTTTTTTCTGATTGAATAATTGACAAAAAAATTGAGAAAAAATAAATGAGAAAACATTTTTTCATTCTTTTTAATCCCCCACAAGCTATGTAAAATACTAAAGATGTGTTTAGCGTCTCGTATGGTGACAATAAGTTTAGCTTGCCGGCCTCAATTTAAGTTGGAACGCATTAATTCGCTTCTTGAGCGTGCTATAAGTACGCGTTATGTCGCACTTTATTTATCACAAACTGGCCAAATTTGCAATTTTCAAACGCCAGTGATTTTACTAAAAATGATCACAGATGAACTTTTTTTTAATTTGAGCTTAGGTTAGCAACAGCTCTCCGATGGCAAAGAAAGTTTTGTCAAAAACGTTTAGTTAACAATCAAAAATTGTTTGAATGAAAACAAAAAAAAACACACCTAGCATAAATACTCTTCAATTTTTTTAAAAACTTGACTAATCCGACGGCGCCTTAAACCATACTGAATAGTTTTTTGTTAAAAACATTGAAAAACTACAAATTTTGGACAATATCAAATATCAAGCCTGAAAGTTTGAGTCGTTTGAAATTAACACTAACGATTAATTAGCCTCAATTCAATTTTAAACAATTTGTTGTAGGTGATAAATCGCCACGCATAAATAAATCGTGTTACTCTTTCAGCTTTTTGAAAACAAGACTGCTTGTATATCAGGGCTAAGCCCTGATTGTTCCGACTGCCCCTTAATCCATATTGAACAAATTTATATTGAGAAGCTATAATTTTTCGCCAGTATCAAAGATGAAGTGTAAAAATTTGTGTTGTGCGAAACTAATAAAACCGATTTGCCAGCCGCAAATCAATTTGGAACAATTTTGTTGAGCGGGATAATTTGAGACGAATAAATAATTAGCGTTACGCTTTCAGGATTATGGATAAAGTCTACAAAGCGTACATTAATTATTCCACTGCATGGCCAAACTGGTAATTTTCAAACTCCCAAAACTTAGTTAAAAATAATTGGAGGTAAAATTATTTGTTACATTTGATTGCAGTGAGCCAATACCTTCAATGCAGTATAAACAAAATTTGTTATTTTATATTCGATAAAAACTAATACTCCGATCGTCAAAAACTGACTGAATAAAAAAACCACACCAAGCATAAACATTCGTTTTTTTGAATGTCAGAACAAAAATCTCCAAAGTGCGCATAGAAAAGTCCAGAGCATGGCCAAATTGGCAATTTCCAAACTCTGATAACTTTGCCAAAAATTGGGGTAGAGTTTCAAAAAATAGAGTATAAAACTTGGAACCATCTTGTGGTGCGGGATAACTCGCCACGCGTAAGTAATGCAAGTTACACTTTCAGCATCCAAGTATCAAATTGCTATTAAAATCACGCTCTTATAATCATATTAGTGAGCGTATCACATTTCTCTGTACAGCAAGATAGTCTAGAGGTCAGCGCGCCCCATCTGAAAACTTGTAGAACTCTTCAAAAGTCGGAACAACAAGACTGCTCGTATATCAAGGCAAAGCCCCAAATGTTTAGAGGCCTTTTAACTAGTCCCGAAGTGTTTTGGTACGCAAAACATAAATTTTGAGCGGATAATATAAAATCTAAAGCGTTAAAAAAATTTTCGTATATGGAGTTTATGCGTCCAATTTGTAGGTGGAACGAAATTGTAGGTAATTTAGTTCGCCTCGCATTAATAGATCGAGTTACATTGCAAAGATACGTTCAATGGGTGACGCTTCATTATGTACACATCGTCCCATAACGTAAACTTTTTCAAAGGTTAATTTGGTATGTACAATTTTTGTAGTTTTTGATTTTTTGCTCTGCAATCAGTGTTTCGTTTGAGGCAATAACAGTCGGGGACGTGGCTGATAAATGTTTATGTTAAGGAACTTTCAAATGTTAACAAATGTTAACTTCAAATGTTAACAAATGTTAACTTCAAATGTTGTCCAATTGTTGCATTGTCATTTTTGCTACAAAAAAACCGTAATAGATTAATTTTGTTGCATTTAGGGAAAAAAACGTTGTTGCGTTGTCGCCTATTGTTTGCAGTAGTCCAAAAATAATTTAAAATGACGTGAAAAAAGAGCAAAAAGTACTAACCAAACTCAAACGTGTGATTTCGTGAATCATCTCCATCACAACGATCGTGTTCCGGCGATTCGGAGAGAGAAAGAACACTGGATGGGTTAATGGCAATACTAGATTTGAATTGCTGCAAAATTTTCTGAGCGTGGCTGAGGTTCGAACTCATAGCCTCTGGAAAGCTATCACGGTTGATACTGACCATTTTATGGACCAAGCACCCAAAGTATCAAATGATTGTTTTAATAAATTTTTCAGAGTCAAGTCGGATTGATTGAGATTTTTTTAATGGTTAATTAGAGCAAATTGAATATAACCAATGAACGATCAGGCTAAATTGAAGCTACAGGTTGTAGGTATAAAGGAGTGTCAATCATTTGATAGTTGAAGAAAGCAAAATGGTACTAAAATTTTTGATTTGCTATCTTTATAACTCAACCAACCAATTCAATTCGAAACGACAAAACTAAAAATGATCAAATTGTGAGTCAAATTTGGCAATGAAAATATACCTAATCGACGAATTTGCTCTCTCGCGCTTTTTAAGAATGAAAATAAAATCTGGCGTATCTACTATTTTTAACATCAAGCTTCGGCCTTATTTTTTTCGGCAGACAATTTAGAGAACATTTGAAGTTAAATTCTATTCAAACCAACAGCTTGAATATCATGGTTGAACGTGCTCAAAACCCTTTCATCAAGTGGTTAAAATTTAAGATTCTGAACTTTCTTTCAACAATTAAAGTTGATTAACATTAAACGCTTAAAACAATAAAAATTGCAATGAGATTACTAATCCATTTCGTTACACACTAAGACTCAATGTGTCATTAAAACTGAGGTTTAATCAGTTATTGTTCCGACTTTCGTAGCGAAATTAACGGAATATTTGCGTTCGGGGTGGGTTTTTTCTTCAGAAAAATTTCGACTTTTTAACTAGCGGATATATTTCGCGCTATTGACGCGTAAGCGGAGATTTAATCCGTCTAAAAAATCGTCCAAAAGTGATTAAAGCAAGCTTATTCGCCAATTTATTTGTTAATGGGAGCGAAATCTATCATTTTTTTATATGGCAATTAAAAAAAATCATAATTTTAGTTTTATTTTATTACCTTTGATTTGTTTCATGTTATTACTGCTCAATAGACCTTAAAATTTTGTCAAAACATTCAGGGCTTCGCCCTGATACGAGCAGTCTTGTTGCTGCTTAGTAGAAGCTAAAGTTCAAGGTTTGATATCACGAAAAAGGTGATCTATGTTTGTTACACGGCTCTTTTCTTGACAATATCTGAACTAGATTAACTCGCTGCAGCTGCTACGTGTCTTCTTTGAAATAATATAGCCTTTTTTGTGTATAATGTGATAAGAGACTATACCAACGCGTAGAAAATTTGTGAATTAGACATATTTGACAACATGTATCTTCGAAGAATGAATAACAAAAAACACAAAAGTTTTTTCTAAAATTCTTTCTGATTTTTTTTTGCAGAATAGTTTAAAAAAAACGCTTTCGACCCCTTTACTTGTTCGAAGTTAGACTAAAACTTAAAACCTCCTAAACTGTTTTTCTCAACACATTTTTTGGAATTTTTTTGATGAGTTCTGAAATGAATGAAACGAGTGAAAGGGCTTGAACATGATATATTTTTTGACCCACTCCGATGATTATTTGTGCGGAGAAGAGAAAATGACAAAAAAAAATTTAAAAAACACACCTAAAGACGAAATTCCGGCCCACATATCAAAGATCAGAACAAAAACCAAAGCGCATTTTAACGAAGTGAGTTTTCGAATGATTTTTGAACCAAACTAAATCGTTGCTGATGCGTTAATAGGACAAATTTCATCGCTCATAAACCTCCCAAAGTGGCCAAACTGGCGTTTTTGAAATCTCCATAATTTCTACAAAAAATCACAAGCGCAGCAACTTTTCAAAAGTTCTGATATCTCCTAAATGGATAAAAATTACTTTAAAAATCGCTAGTTAAAAAAACGGTTTGGGTAGAAATCAAACCATAGCAAGCACTAAATTTCTGACTTTTTCTTCAAAAGCCAAAAAATACACCGGAAGCATGAATAAATTGTCACTTTCTCCAAAAACTGGAACAAAAAAGCTCTCAAGGCTCTGCTCACTAGCCATTTATAAGTGTAACTCAAAACATCTTGCATCTTGATTTTGAGATCAGTCAGTTGTAATGTGGGTACACGAAGTCGGTCTAGTGGGCCATGAACGAAATGGAAATTATTTGAAACTATGCAAATAAAACTGTTTTAGGTGATAACTTAAAATTTTGATGTAGTATGCGTCTGATTATGTATTTTTAGTTGTAAATCATCACGTATAATTTTTCCTTAGTTGGTAATGGTCAAAAATAGGAACACAAACAAACAAATTTGTTTGTCCTTATCACAGATTAAGTGCAGAAAAAAGTCGCAGCAAAATATTGGAGTTTTTGTTTCGTGTCCTAAAAAACGTTTGTTTACTTAAATTTAAATGTCAAGAAGTTCTGATTTCACATTGAAACAGAAACATGGAAGTTAGTGTGCTCCTACTAAAACGTGACGTCGCCACTAAAAACAACCTATTTATATTTATTTGCAAAATGAAAGAAAACTAATGATTAAAGTATTTGAAATAACTCATATAACATTTTAAGTTTTGGGAATAAAAACGAGTCTACTCATAAAATACGAACGAAAAAACGACTCTACTCGTAAATTACAAACAGACCAATGACTCTCATGAGAGATAACGAAGCTAAAAACTTATCGCGTATTTGTTACGACAAATTAAGAGTTTTTCCAATGAAGTATAAATAGAAGTTGAAAACTATTGAAATTCATTCCAACCATTTTTTCTTAAAGTCTCAACCAATTATCTCCAATCCAACCCTTAAAATCTTAAAATAAACATCGTGTCTAAAGGCAAACTTTTCTAATAAAATATTTTCAAGCGAATTTTAGATTTCTTTTCTAAGGTAGAAAGTAGAAAGGACCCTTTTTTACAAGCAGAGTTTTGTCCGACGTACATAAGTATTGCCAACGTAATAAGAGATAGAAAGTTTCTGTAATACTAATCAGCACAATTATGAATTATGACCTATGAAATCTTTTTTCTAAGATAAAAGTTAGCCAAAGAAAACCAAAAAACTTTCCAAAAAAATAACAATTCTCGGGATAATTTTCGCTTTTTTTTCGTTTTATGAGATTTTTGTTATAGCAGCAGGATTAAAATCCTGCCATAGAAATTCTGTAATAAATGTTAATGAATCTAAAGACGACGATAAAATTAGATTCGGTTTGATCAGATATTACAGTAAATTTCGCAAGTTTTAGCAAAATTTCTTTGTTGTAAGTTAGTCTAAAATTAGTAAGTTAGTTCGAAAAATTGTTGTGGAATCGAAACCACAACTGAAGGAGCTTCAGTTTGAGCTAAACATGAAACTTTGATATTACTAAATCGCGCTGACAGAAAATTTTTTATACGCCATAGATATTTACCCATGCGCCATAGATATTTAGAAAGATTAAAACAATAAATTATGACAATAATTTCAGCTATGAGCTAGTATCAGAGCGAATCTCGAATTTCTACAACCTTAAGAAAGTTATCAATTTCAGTATGAAAAAAAAACTAATAAATAAAAAAGCAAATCTAAAAAATAAAAATTTTTCATTTGATTTTCAAGCTTCTGCTATAACAATTGTTATACGACATTTTCCGCTGGACAATTTATAACGAACCGCGTTTGAGCGCCAGCACTTCGATTCTATGGCAAAAAAATAGAAATATACCTGAAAATAACTCACTTCTCTGTCTTTGCCGTGAGGGGTAGTAATCTTCGGCTGGCGAAGTGCTCTGAACAGGCTGATGGTTTTGCGTAGATACCAGCGACGACTGCTGCTGATGATGATGTGCGCCCCTCAACTGACTACTACTGTTGCTCTGGCCCCAATTCTGATGAGTCATCGAAGGTCGTGAAATGGAGGGGACGAATTCTTGAGGGTAACTCATCCCTCCCCCTCGTTCTCGCCCTCCGTTTTCTTCAGGACTGCGTCTGTAGCTGTGAGATAAGCCATGGTGGGGTATTGACGTGGTGTTGTTACTACCATTGTAAACACCTGAAGGATGTTGGAAGAACTGATTTCGTTGGTAGCTGTTGAAGTTTGAGCCGGAATGTTGTTGTTGTTGTATTTGTTGTTGTGGTTGCATAGGCTGTATGGACTGAGGTATTTGATGGGCAGATGAAAACTGATGATTGCTAATTTGACGTGGGTTATGAAATTGACCCTGATTTGGGTTCATTGCGGGGTTTATTTGAGGGTTACCAGATATCTGAGGCGGGAGATTGTTCAGGACTAGACTTGACCTCGGGGGTAGGATAGGAGGCGAGGCATGATTCATAGAATTTCGATGATTTGACTCGGTAATGCTCCCCCCTTGTGATCGACTCCGGCCATGGGGCACGTGGTGCGCCGAAGCCGCGGTGTGAATAAAATTTCGCTGGTTATGGTTATGATTCATAACTTCGTAATATACTTTGCTACATTCGATTGTATATAGCTGACATCGAACAGTGCATTCAATATTAAAAGCTTATCAGATGACAAAGTTCTGATTTGAAGTTAATTCGAGCAATTTTTTGACGTTTTGACGATGATTGTGTAATTTTTGATTACTCTCTTTTTGTTGTAGAATTCTTCATGAATTTTGAGTGACGCGATCAATCAGCCAACCTGCACGCAAAAAATATCATAATTAGCTAACTAGATGTAAATAGACATTAACTCATTGCTGATTATTGATTGATTAGCAACTAAAGGTTAATTAGTTTTAATTGCGCTATGTATAAAATAGGCGCCAAGTGTTGAATTGAATACTAGTTTTGCCAATTGTTACATTATCATTTGCCAGCTCTTAATGATAATTTTAGATCTGGTATTACGATCGTGTCAAGTGTCGAAAATTTCCAGAAAGCCTTCAAAGAGGTTTTGTGGTTCGAAAACAAGCTGAATTTATTGACAAATAATGAAGTTTACACACCTTTAAAACAAATCGTTTGCTCTTTTAGTTTGTAATCTAAAGTTTGAGCGGTTTATCTAATGAGGTTATTCATCTCTCGTAGATTCAATCAGCATTCGTGAAAAATCGAGTCGTGTTTAAAGCACACCTGTGATTATCACAGCGACTAATTGACAAGTTTGTACACTATGTGTTGGAGCTATATGGTATCATATCTAATATTAGGCACTAATCAACAGTCCGATTTACGCCATTAGTTTTATCGTGCAGCTGTTTCAAGGTCTTTCACAAATAGCTAAAAATAAAATTTTACTGAAAAAGCTTACTAAGAGACTAAAGTTTTGTTTTAAAGATTTAGTTAAATTGAACAGAACAAAATGATTGGCGTGGCCGTGGCTGTCTAAAACAGGTGAAACGATTGTTGAAACCCTTGTATTCGTATAGTCATATTTTGAAATCTTGTGGCTCATTAATGATCAAAAAAAATCAAATTTTATTGACTAGCCTTGCTAATTTGGATGATTGTGACTTGTTTAATAATTGCTACAGGTTTCAAATTAATATAGACTTTTTAATGAAACCAATTCACGAATAGAAAGGAAGATACTATGGTGTTTGATGTAATTTTTTTGTCTGCCTAAAAAAAACTTGTAAGACTCAAGCGTGGTGTGATCTTAATTTTTCAAAAATTTTTTTAGACTTTCAGACCAAGTGTCACGTTTTTTGGTGCAGCATACAACTCAATTTTGATGACACTCAGTTTAATGCTACCACATTTTAAGTTTATTTAGCAAAATTACTTGTCATTATGCATTTTTGAATTATTTTTGAAATCTTCATGGTATGAGTCGGTTAATACAGCATATTAACGCCTCCTCAGTCGTAATTCTAACAAAAATTTTAAAAAATCGAAAATTTGTCCCAGCGTTGATAAACCGCTCAGAAATTTCTCAGTTTTAGCCTAATTTTGAGAGAGTAATGCAATCGTTTCAATTACAATTGGTCTTTTAAATGAAATTGGTCATTTAAAGCAAAAAATACTTGATTTTACAAAACCTAAAGCTATTTTTAAGCTTCATTTAGAGCTGGCAACAAAAAATTTCTGAAAAAATTCAATGAGCAAACTCTTTGTCCAAATGAAAGAAAATTTTAAGAAATTTTTTCACGTGTTTTCTTTGCAGAATTCTGCTTTAATTATGCCTAATTCACTAATGTTCTACTAGTTTATATATTTGTCTCATCACATCACTACAAAAGATTGCACTAGTTTGAAGAATGAAAAAATCTCTAAAGTTTTTAATAAATATGGTCGGCAAACCTTATTTAAATTTGCAACCGGCTATCTTTTTTGCAACCATTTAAGCTTTGAATTCGACTAAAAATTGCAACCAACTAACAGTAACCGGTTATCCTTGTTTGTTTTGAAATTTTTGCATTTGATTTTTTTTCCGAAAAAAAGAACTGTTTCGGTTTTTTTTTTTTTTTTTAGGTAACTGAATTCAATGATGTTAATTGCAGTTCGAAGTTCTTAAGAAAACTCAAATTCTTGATTCGGAAGTAATATTTGAAAAACTTTGACAATTTTAAAAAACTGGAACGAAACACTTATTAATTTTTACCTACTTAGTTAATTCAAATTTTGTTCACTGATTTTTTTCAATCAAGTTGTTTCACTAACACTGCTAAAGTTAAGGATTATTTTTTGATGAAGTTAGGTCAGAGTTTTTTTCTAACTTTTTTGTATATTTAGCATAAGTGTAGTTTATCGAGCGTGGTGTTATAAAATGACTCTACTTTGTGTTTAGCAAGCGTAGTATGACTCTACATTTTCCAAACAATATTGCAAACAAAAGTGCTCGTTTGTTGAAGTTTTTGCTATAATGACTATTGTAGAATTGGAAATTGCCTAGCATCTGTTTTCTGATTCATTGGTGTCCACTGTTTGTTGATAATCAATGACCAGTCGCGCAGATGTGAGAAAGATAGACTCTAAATTGCAAGTTCGCAGGTTCGAATCCGACACATACTAAAAACTTTACTTGTTCGAGGCTTATTTCTATTTTTTGTGTTCCACTTTTTATGGCTGCTCGTTTTTGCTTGCGTACAGCAGTTTGCTGAAAGTTCAAAATATACTGGATTCAAAACTTTTTGAATTTTTTTCTTTCTGCTTTCATCTTGACTAATTTTAGTTTTCTAAAACATATTTTTTTTTTTCAATGTATTATCTCATTCTCATGGCAAGATCACAACATCTCAGTACTATGACTTGTCTTTGACTTCCACCATATATGGTTTTATTGTTTCAGATGCAATTTATACGAAATTTAAGACAAGTTTAACTCTTGCTCGCGGAACTTTAATTATTTTTCGTGGAAATCTGAAGCAACCACATTTTGACCGGAGAGGCAAACTCTACAAGATGACCGCGTAATACTTTCTTATTGATATTATAGATTTCAATTTTTTTGCTATTTGCTTCCGCGATTTGTTTAAAAATCTTGAGAACTAATATTGAACATCTGGATCCAAGTAATTTTGAAGAATTAGCCAAATAGCAAAAAAAGTTAAATTGCCATGGCAATTAAAATTAATCTTGCTTAAAAATATGTCACTACAAGTTTCATGTGCTTTTCAGATATTGGATTTCCGCATAGACTCCGGTTGACCTTCCTCCAAAAAAATCCCCTATCTCAGATTTTTTCATAAAATTTAAAGGCAAATTACGTTTTCATACAATTTTCTGTAAGAAAAGTTCTAAGATACCGTTCTTTCACCAATAAAACAATGCAATTTTTAATTTTCATTTTTTCAATATTTATGCATGTAGAAAAATTTAAGATTGTGGTTTGCATTTCGAATTAAAATTTCTCAAACGAAATTTTTAGATTTTTTTCAAAACATAAAAAATTAACGAAATCAATTTTGACGAATCATGTCATATAGCTCCGGACGTGATGTATGTGAGGTACAGCTACATTTTGACTTAAAAAACTCTAGAAATTAGTAAAAAGCTAGCTAGAAAAAGTTTGTTATTTTGATAAACTAATATGAGGAATGTTCAAATTTGACTAATGAGTTTACTTTATTGTACTCTGCGGCAGCGGAAATTTCTATATTGGTTCTGAAAAAATTTTAAAAAATTTTACTGAAAACTAATTTTGAAAAATTTTAGATTTTTAAAGCCTTATTTTTTAAGAAGTTCTAAGATTCTTACAGAAAAAACCCTAACAATAATGCTTTCCAAACCAAAGCAAAACTCAGTGCAGTGCTTTTATGTATTTCTCTAGGGACTTCACTTCAGATTTCAAAGAAGCCTTCTTGAAATTGTTTGGATTTCAGCAAAAAGTTTGCGGACTCCAAAAGAATATCAATGATATAGTATTTTAATTTTTTTTAGGTTTCACAAATATTTTGAACCTTGATGCTTGTTTTGAAGATTACAAAAGCTTTACTAACCTTTTTGGTTAGCAGGGGTGTTTTGGCAGATGATACCATTTGCATGTCATAAAGGTCACGCAACACTTCAGAGGGAAATCTACCGGCAACCACATTAAAGATTGAATTTACATCACTCAGTTTTGAAAGTGTCTGTTAAAAAGTCATTTTCTGAAGAAATGGCGTCTTCTTGCCCCAGATAAATTTGATGACATTAACTAATTTTTTTGCGGTTTTTCACTGCGCAAATCTTAATTCTGTGTGAAATTATATACCATAACTTACATATTTGTAACATTAGTCTTTGAACAGACTTCGCAAAAAGTAGTACCAAGCTTATGTTTTGTTGCTTTTATAAAAACTGAACACAAAAGATACGTTGTTTACATAGCACGTCAAATAATGCAGAAAATGAAACTTGTTTTATTTAAAGATGCCAGCTCATTCTCGAGTATATATGAAACAGGTTTGAACAGACGGAAATGCATCATCTCTAAAAATATAAATAACTATTGTCTAGTCAAACGTCGAATTGGGCCAAACATTTTATCAAGTTTTGATCACCGACAGACTTTTATAAAAAGGTCAATACCTTCACAAGTTGATGTCTACGAGAACTGAAATGTTTGAAACAAGCTCTCAGATTTGAAAAAAAAATTATCAGCAAAATTGATGTAACATAAAAAAAATGCGTTTGACGCTTGTTGTTTCTGTTCAAATATTGGGGAGTATAAAAATATAATGTTTTAGCCGTTTTTAAAGTATTTGCTCAATAAGGCAAATCGATATCCATAAACAAGTAGCCTTTTTTCTCCCGCTTCCTTTGCCATACATAAAAAGCAACGTTTCCATAAAACGCTTAAGCGTTCCTATAAAACGTGTACGTCATGGTATAACTAGCGATTATAAGCCATATATGTTGCGCCGCTTTTTCAAAATCAGATAAACGATTTTAGATTGTCAAAAAAATCATTGAGCTGAGTAAAATCTCATCCAGATGTTAGTATACACTGACCCCACCTTTTTGGCAGATACTGGAAAATACTCAAAACATATAACCAATTTACCGACTTTTCAAGGATATCCAAACATTGATAACGAATACATACATACTTACGTAAAAGGGTTGGGGATCCAACTTATAATGAATACAAGACCAACCCACTTTTGTAATAGGAGTGAGAGTTAACAAGATCACCTTATCTGTGTCATAATCAGTAAACTGATGGACTCTTGCGTTGATTTTTTTTGAATATATATGTATATGTAGTATATATGTTTAGAATATATATATATATATATATATATATATATATATATATATATATATATATATATATATATATATGCAGAATTTTTTCCAGATTGGATTAAAGCAGGGAATTTGCTCAAAATGTTGAAAAATCTCAGAAAAATCTTTGTTATATTTATTTTGCAAACATTTCGTCAACTTTATAATATTGAAAAGAATTTTTTAGATTTTGAAAGGTAGTCGGAACATTCATAGCGTCGCAATTTTATTTTATTTATGTTAATCTTTGTTTATTGTTAAAATTGTTAGAAATTTCATCTATTTTTTAATATTGTAAAAAAAGTTTTTGTTTTTAGATTTTAAAAGGCAGTCGAAACATTCATGCAACTTTGTTTTGTTCATGTTTAATGTTAATCCCTAAATTCAAGAAACAAATCGCGGATGCTAAGTGACAAAGTGAAGAATCTGGAAACAAATTTGGTAACTCAGAGTGAAAAGTATCCCGGGTCGAGATTGGGTATTATATTGCAATGTGTTCCAGCATTGCGACTCGGAAAATATATGTTGCGAATTTGAGACCATTGCAAAAACGTACTTTAAAAAGATAAAAAGTATGTTGCGACCATTGCGACTCAAAATGGGCCTGTTTTGAATTTGTGGGACCGAAGTAGTTAGCGCGACTTTGGGCAACTCAAAATAAATCTATTACAAAGTTGCAAGACCCAATATGAGTATGCGACAATTGCGACTCAAAATTGATTTGCTACAACTTTGCCTGACCTAAGCAAAAAGTATTTTGCGGCTTTGAGCAACTCTAAAACTATTTGTTGCAATTTTGCGCGACCAATGGGTTTTCTGCAACATTTCGCCACCCGGGTCGAGGTTTGCAATGGATGTTTCAACCGAATCGACCCAGGCTCGATTGGTCTGACGACTCGACCGAAGGTGTCTATGTTTTGACTATGTTTGACCGAGGGATAATATTTCAACCAAATTTTACCAAATAAGAGTTTCAACCGACAAAAAGAAAGAATTCGAACGTGTTCGACGTAAAATTTTGCGCGACCCATGCTGCAGCTAAAGTTTAGCGCGACTCCTTTTGCGATTTTTCGCCTTTGCGCGACGCATTTTGCGACTTTGCGCAACTCATGTTGCGACTTTGCGCGAAGAATATTGTGACTTTGCGCGACCCATGGTGCAACTTTGTGCGACTCATGTTGCGACTTTGCGGAACTCAAGTTCCAATTTTGCGCGACCCATGCTGCGACTCTGCGCCGCCCATGTTGCAAGTTTGCGCGACCCTTGTTGCGACTTTGCGCGACCCATTTTTAGCTATGTTGCGACTTTCCGCGACCCTAACCTCTTGATGGAGTATGAAATTTTGGTCGCAGAAAGTCCATTTCGGTGAACAAATTTGGTCGCAAAATGAGTCGCGGACCTTGGCTACGAGTAATGGAACGTAAATATTGAGTAATGGAACTTACAGACAATGCATAGTTTTCAGATCAACTACTAACTTCAATTTGGCGTTACTTGTGATCGGGCCACAATGCTGAGATAAAAATTTGAAAAACAAGCTATTTTTTAAAAGAAAATGAACACAGCCAAGCAGAAAAAAGTTTAAAAACACTTTAAGGAAGCCAGTGAATTTCAAATTTTCATTCAAAAAAAGGCCTGAAAACTTTTTAAAGTTCCAGAGGAAACACCAAACAAATGGCAATGATTGAAGTTGACAAAAGTAGCAAACATAATTAATTTAGTGAATTTTTTTATCCAAACTTTCGAAAATGCTAGATTTTTTGATAAAAAATATAGACCATAAAAAAAATTTGAAATCACTCTCGCAAACACTCAACATTGAATTTCATATATTCAACTTCTTGTTGTACAAAAAAGTATTGGCCAAAAATTTATTTATCCAAAAAAGTTTAACCATGTTTTGGTGCCTCTTTTCGATCAAACTCCTGTCCAATAGAGCCATTTGATTAAACTGGAGTATCGGAATTTTGTTATTTTGTTGACTTGACAAAAAATCTTTGTTTTGAAAAGTTTTGGCTGAAACTTGCGACAAGGGAAAATTTGTTTGATTGTGTATTGACCATAAGTTTAAATTTTGTCTTTTGAAAATGTTTTGGGGTGAATCAATTAATCAATGTCGGCTTATTTAAATTATTCTTAAAATGTCTATATTTGAGTGCTCTGATTTTGGAAAATTGATTTATAAATGTTCAGTTTTGGAGCATTGCGATTTTCATGTGAGCCAGCCAAAATGCAAAGGCAGTTGGAACAAGACTGCTCGTATCAGAACGAGGCCTTGAATGTTCCGACTGCCTCTTGAGGTCTACGGTGCAGTAATAAAATGAAAAAATTAAATGTAATATAAAAAAATGATTTTTTTTAACTTGACATTTTTGTGAAATTCATTCCCCCACACGCCATCCAAAGTACAAAGTGATATATTTCGTTCTTAGTAACAAATAAATTATGGCCAATTAGAGTCCTTTAACCAATTTGGAACGATTTCTGAGACGGACTTAATCCCCGCTTACGCGTTAATAGCGCAAAACATATCCCGCGTTAATTGTCTTAAATTGACCAAAATGGTAATCTTTAAGCCCCCATATTTTTACAAAAAATAATGACAATTGAAACATTTTCTCAAATTCAAGCTCAAGACAGCATTACCTTTCGAATGACATAAAAAAATTCCGTCAAAAATGGCTAGTTAAAAAGTCGAAATTTGTCTGAAGAAAAAAAAACCCACCCCAAGCACAATTTTTCCGTTACTTTCGTACCGGAAGTCGGAACAAGAATTAATTTTGGTTTTTAAATACATTTTTGCGACATAGCGAACGGTGGTAATTCAATTAGCCAATGAAGGATTAAACCAAAACTTGAATCAGTATCATAATTTACGCTGATTCTCCATTCGGTGGTCAGTTTTGACACACAAGCCGTTAAAACAGATTTGCGTAGACCTGATTTTTTTCTACGCCGCAAGAAGTGTTTTGATCAGGTCGCTAAAAGATGGTTGGGTAAAAAAAGTTTTTTTTACTTCATTAGTATTTTGATTTATATATCATTCCGGGTTGGCCGCCTTATAAATGGTATTTATAGAGTTCCCTCAATTTTTCTATGAAAAAAAATCTAGTCATGTAATTACCATACTAGGAGAACTGCTTGACTAGCTTTTTTTAAAACCAAAAAAAATTTGTATTGAGAAAACAAATACAGTGCTGACTTAAATTAACCGGACAAAACGAGCTAAACTTGAAATTTAAAACGCGTTTTTCTCAAATTGGGTTGAAATTAGGTGAAAATTTATGGAAACAAAACTTGCTTAAAACTTCAGCAGAGTTAATATGGCGTAATTTTTTCTTTGAAAACTTCGGGCCCAAAACTTTACCCCAAAAATGGGTCATTTTGGCTCTTCTTAGTTAATCAAACATTACGCCGAAAATAACGAATCGATCACAGAAATAATTATATCTAAGTGAGCCCTTTACGTAGCCCAACAAACTTGATGACGGGTATATTCTCCAAAAAATATTTGCAAACCGTTTAAAAATTGTTTTTAAATAAAAAGTTGGTATTTTATATAGTAAAAACGACCTTTTTTGTCTATCAAACAAAAATAAGTTAACTTATACAATGTTTTGGAGAATATACTCTTCTTAAAGTTTGTTGGGCTACGTAAGGGGCTCACTTTGATTTAATTATGTCTGTGATCGACTGGGTATTTTTGGTGTAATTTTTCATTAACTAAAAAAGCCAAATGACCCATTTTTGGGGTAAAATTTTGGACCCGAATTTCGCAAAACAAATTGACCCATACTAATTCTGCTAAAATTTTAAGCAAGTTTTGTCTTCATAAGTTTTCACTCGAAATCAACCCAATTTGAGAAAAACGCGTTTTAAATTTCAAGTTTAACGCGTTTTGTCCGGTTTATTCAAATCAGCTCTGTTAGATGTTAAATGAGTTTTAAGCTCGTAAAACTAGTCAGTGGTCAAAAGGTAATCTCCAAATTTGTTCAAATGGACAAATCGGACCAAGTTAACATCCTCCTCCCAAGCGAAATGATTATCAGATGCAATTCGACGTGCATGTCTATAGGCCGGCCCCAATCCAATTGGTCCATTAGTTGCGAAAAACAGGTCAAGTTTTGGTTAGGAGAGTCCTTCATTCTGCGGCAGCCGAAAGTTTATAGTTGCCGAGTACACAATCAATAGGTCATGCAATTAAGTTTTTCTATTTTGCAAGCTTTATCAGTTCAGAGTTTTTATGGGAACGTTTGGATTGTGAGTTTTCAATGCAACCTGTTAGATTTAGCTTTGATTTGTAGCATATAATGCTCAGTAAATAAGACATCAGTAAATGTTTAGTAGTCTTATGGTTTTCGATGATTTTGATTGTTTATAGGTTTTCAGCAATCGGTTTCTTCATCATGAGAACCCTCCCGCTTTTG